ATATATTAAAATACAATTAGTACAAGACATTTTATCAACAACAATAGGGGTGGCTTCACACTAGATTAAGCCTGGAGTACAGATTTGTTTATGATTTTGATAAATTTGCAAAGTTTAATAAGCTTTGCTTTCTTTTTTGATGACATCAGTAATTTATACTTTAAGATATTTGGTCTGGTGTAACTATATTTTTGTATGTTAATTTTTCTCTCGTGTTAAAAAGATGGACATTCCAAGATAAAGTGAAATTCATCCCCGATTTCATTTTTTCTACACAGATTACAGTTTCTGTTTTGTCTGTTTGTGTTATACCATCTACCAGCTTCAATAGGTAATTTATGATTTGTTGTTCTAAATCTGCAAAATTCTACAACATTTTTGTTACCTAAATAAACTTCCGAACAAAAATTATCTTTAAATACTCTGTAATTTACAGCTTTGGGTGATTCCTCTAGACGTTGCGCATGATGTTCCTACAACACGACGTTACACCAAAAATGCGACGTCAAAGAGGGTTTTCTGAAATTTTGACGTCGATTAATTAAATTTGTAAGTTTCATTCGTTTTTTTTATATGTTGTTGGATGATTCTATCTCTGTTATTTTTGTGATGTCTCTTTACCATGAATTACCTCAAGTTGTGGAAATCGATTTAACAATGTATACGCTTAATTCACCTTAAAATGCACAATCTTATCAAGAAAAAGTTTTCATATTCAATTAAATGGTCTTTTGAAAAATCTCATTACAAATTTATTTGCTGTAACTCGTTTAAAGCCTTTTTCTGTAACGAAAAGGAAAGTATGCTAGATACACTTACTGGAAATGTGAAGATGTGATTGAAGCTTTAAATTTTCTCCTGGACAACATATATGTACGTTTCGGCGATAAAGTGTATCGACAAGTAGTAGGTATTCCTATGGGCACTAACTGCGCCCCTTTAATAGCAGATTTATTCCTGTATTGCTATGAATCTCAGTTTATGACCAAACTCAGTAAAGACACGTCATTGTTACATTTGGTTGATACATTCAACAATACCTTCCGTTATCTAGATGATATTTTTTCGTTAAATAATCCAGAGTTTTCTAAATATACTACCAAAATTTACCCAAAAGAGCTTACTTTAACTAAATCTAACATAAACAGCAGTAGTTGTCCTTTTCTAGATTTGGACATTTCAATCTCTAAAGGAAAACTCCATACTAAAATTTACGACAAAAGAGACGACTTTTCATTCCCTATTGTTAATTTTCCTTTTTAGACGGCGATGTTCCTTTGGGTCCATCATACGGTGTTTATATATCCCAACTCGTTCGTTATGCCCGTGTGTAGTAATGTCATAGATTTTAACGATCGTAATCAATGCATCACTGGTAAATTATTAAGTCAGGGATTTCGTTACCATAAATTACGTAAAACTTTTACTAAATTCTTTCATAGATACAAAGATTTGATTAGTAAATTTAGCTGTACCTGTAGAAAACTGATTAAAAACGGTATTTAACATCCTAAATTTTACGGTAATATTGTACTTAAAGCATGGAAATCACTTTGTGATCCGTGTAAACTCATCGAACCTTTAAACAAACTTATTAGTAAAGGTTATCTTACCAGTGTTGTAATTAGATCTTTGAATATAGTTTACATTGGCACTAATATCGATTTTGTCATCAGCAAATTAAAACATAACTAAATTTGTATTCTTTTCAAACGGGATGTATAAAGACACACCCGCGTTCATTTTCATCCTTAAAGAGGTTAACTCCTAACTACTGCCTGTCGATACATTTATTTATTTTTGGCATTGCACAAGTCGTGTCTTCTTTGACTGTCCATGACGTTAAAATACTAAATCCCGGGGATGTGTTTTAGTTGATTTTAGTCTCTGATGCATGATTTTTTATTATTAATTGTTTTTAGCTTTTAACTAGCTGTCAGTAACTGCGAGTACTCTCAAATCGTACTTTCTTGTTTATGACCTGTTGATACTAATTGTAATGTTTTTTTGTTATTTAATGTTATTCGGGGTTATATCTGGTCTATATACCAGCTTTGATAAGTGTTTGGTATTCCAATAAATTTTCACTTCTTCGTACTATGAACATCAAAATTATTTATTTTGTAAAAATATTTCCTTTCTCTATTTGAACTGTACACGTATACCTAACAACACAATTATTTTTATTTACCTGTGTTTAAAGTAATTGCAAATGGCTGATATTTTTGTGCAAGTATATTGTTTTTCTTAAATTGTTTAACATTTCACAGCGGTATAACATGTTACTTTAATTATTCTTCTCTTAGTTTATTTATTTTGTATTTGCATTGTATCATAGATCAAATTTATTTGTTCAGTGTATGTTCACTGGTGTTAATATGTCATTTGATTGAGTTAAGCCATTTCAATTGATATTTTATAGTGTGTTTTTCTATGTTGTGATGTTACACTATTGTTTCAGATAAGGGTGAAGGTTTGGTACCATTAAAACGTTTAAACCCGCTGCAATTGTTTGCACCTGTCCTAAGTCAGGAATCTGATGTTCAGTAGTTGTCGTTTGTTGATGTGGTTCATAAGTGTTTCTCGTTTCTCGTTTTTTATATAGATTAGACCGTTGGTTTTCCCGTTTGAATGGTTTTACACTAGTAATTTTTGGGGCCCTTTATAGCTTGCTGTTCGGTGTGAGCCAAGGCTCCGTGTTGAATATAAAAAAGAAGATGTGGTATGATTGCCAATGAGACAACTCTCCACAAGAGACCAAATGACACAGAAATTAACAACTATAGGTCACCGTACGGCCTTCAACAATGAGCAAAGCCCATACCGCACAGTCAGCTATAAAAGGCCCCAAAATGACAATGTAAAACAATTCAAACGAGAAAACTAACGGCCTAATTTATGTACAAAAAATGAACGAAAAACAAATGACAACCACTGAATTACAGGCTCCTGACTTGGGACAGGCACATACATACAGAATGTGGCGGGGTTAAACATGTTAGCGGGATCCCGACCCTCCCCCTAACCTGGGACAGTGGTGTAACAGTACAACATAAGAACGAACTATAAAAATCAGTTGAAAGAGGCTTAACTCATCAGATGGATAAAAATACAAATACTACAAATACAAGTGGACGTGGCCGGGTACTTGTACATCCAAACAACAAAAAGACACTAAGTACAGATCTGAGATTACTCGCAGTTACTGACAGCTAGTACATAGCCACTAACAACTAATAAAAACAAAAAAAATCATGCATATAAGACTAAATTGATCATGCATCTAAGACCGTACTTTGACCTATAATGGTTTACTTTTATAAATTTTGACTTAGATGGAGAGTTGTCTCATTGGCACTCATACCACATCTTCTTATATCTATGTATTGTCGTAAGTAATGTAGGAAGGAAAAATGGGCCGGAAGTATACTGTTTTCCATAAATAAATAAAAAAAAATTTTAGATGTACAAAACTTTAATCACAGGCTGCTAAAATTTCAAGGTGCATATCATCTATCATTGTAAATTTTCCTTATCTTGATTCAACCCCAATACAAACATATCTGACACTCTGCAAGTAAATCAAAACATTTTTACCCTTGATTAATTTGAATTGAATTGTATTTTCCTTGACACATAATTTGTCGAAATACAACCCTTCAATTACTTGAACCCCAGCTTGAAAATTATTTCTCCAGTCATCTTAAGTTGCTTGCTTCAGTTTTCTAACGTCCGATGTATATGGTAAAGTGTAGTAATCTTCTCCTGGATCGTCCGTAAAAACGGCTAATATAAGCCCTGGTTGTTTTAATTCAATGAAACTGTTTTCGTCGCTGTTTGCGATTAGTCTTTCAGTTACATCTGTTTCATGCACAAGTTTATATTGATGAAAAGGTCCGGCTTCGCTAGTACAGGAATTAGTTTCATCACGACAGTTATTATAATTTGGTGAATGCACCTTAGTGAAGGTAATATTTATGTTTAGAGTTAGTTGACAATTTTCACAGATACTACTAAATTTATGTTTACTGTTCTGTAGACCTTCTTTACTCTCGGATATCAAAAGTAAACCATGGTCCAAATACTTATATGGTCCGGAACATATATATATTCTGCCCCTCTATTCTTTTGAATGGACAAGAGTAAGAACACGTTAAGGTTTGTGACCCTTCTAGGCCTTTGTATTGCGAAAGTGCTATAATATCAAAACAGCCGCCAAATTGGGGAAAGTCGTTCAAAGCAATACTATTTATTGTTGCATCGCATTTAATAGAAAATGGGGATTTTGTGGCAAATAAGGCAAGATTATTGCAGAAAATCCACAGACTTTATTATAGAGAATTTCGTTATAAGAATTTTAAACATAGATTACTCCCTTTTTTCCATGATGACTTCATGTGGTAGTGTTTACTGTTTGCAAAAGGTTATAAACAACCTTTGCAACCCAAAATGTCTTATGCTGAGCCACTAAAGTCAAGCGCACTCTAAGAGGTGTACTTGAATAGGTCCATATTTATGCTTGTTTAACCAATATATATTTATTTATAAACTTGTTTTAGAGAAATCATTGCTAGCAATGCTTGCAATTATTAAGCACTCGGAATTGTCAAATATTAGAGTACAAGGGCAAATGGCTATGGATTTTCTATATGATTTCCATAAGTTTAGCCTGGGACATTATATATTGATTATTAGTATAATAGTCCCAGGTTTAGCATTGTATCAACAAAGGGTACATAATCCTTGAATAACTATTACATTTAAGTTAAAAATCAAAATATTTTATTTGCTACGAAAAAAACATCCAAAAAAAAAGGGAAAAGAAAAAGGGTGGTCCATGCCCCCAAGCGCTTGTTACATACTAGGGACAAACACTTTAGAGAGCCAAAATGAATACTGAGACAATCACATTCATAAAAAAAGCTTATATTAAACAAAACAAAAATGGCTGACAAGTGCGTGTTTTATACCGGAAAAATTATAACTCGTCCGCATTTGGTTTTAATTTTAAGGAGACAGTCTGCACTTCCGGCACATGTGGAAACCAATCCGAAGAAATGGCAAACGAAGATGTCAGCAAAACCGCTTCTGTTGAGGTTCATTTTGCACAAAGATTAGCATCAAACGAGAAGAAGATCAGAGACAGAGCAATGAAGAAATTAAGAAAATGGCTTGAATTGAAATCTTTAACCAAAAAAGGTGTGCAACCTAGTTTCTCCAGATTTTTTTCGTGTTTTATCAGCCATGAATAACTCATACTTGTTTTTTCTTCACATTATCCATTATGGGATGATGAGTCCAGATCAGTTTTCTCATTAAAACGCCTGCAGAATATCTTGTTCATGATCAAGTAACTCAATTAGGGAAAAGTTAACCAAATACCTTGCTAAGATCCAATTATGCGGAGGGGTGCAGGTCGTTTCGTAACCTGGTCGTTTCGTACCTAGTCGATTCGTAACTAACTAGTTCGTTTTGTAACTGAGATATTTCGTAACCTTATAACAATATATCATGATATGAGTTGTAGGTTATGGAAAAAAAGTTCCGATTAAAAATAATAAAAAGACTTATTGGCACTCGTACCACATCTTCTTAAATCTACTCATTGATGTATACATACCTATATTTATTTATTTTTAAATAATTGATTGGATATAATTTTACACTTTACAAGTACAGTTTTGCACACATACTAATAGAACAGAAGAATTTAAAATGTCTATCATCATTTAGATGTACCCTGTCTTTATCAAAGTATCATTTAGTCTTCTGCTAAGTGCATTGATGTCTCCAATACTTTACACCACTCATCTCTATTTTGCTTAGTTCTTTATTAAACTTCTTTTTTTCTATCATAAGTTGTTTCTTTTATGTTTCTTGTTTAAGTCTGTCGATGTTGGAGCCTATATCACTACAGAAGGAACACCAAAGCGCAAATTCGTCAAGACTTAAATAATTTTACAAAGTTTTAAATTATTACAATATTGTTATTATTAGATGCACACTTTGATCATTATTAAATAATAACAAGAACAAAAGACAAGCAATTTATTTTGGCTTCAATAATCATATATAGACAATTCTAAGTGATATATACACTTCTAGAGACAAAACTAGTTAATTAATTTATATATAAATATATATTTTCTTTAAAATAATTAATTCAAACTAATAGAGACGCACTTTATTACCATATATAATCACACCAGGTACGAAATGTCTCGGTTACAAATCAACGTAGTTACGAATCGACCAGGTACGAAACGACCAGGTTACGAAACGACCAGCATTCATGCGGAGTTGTAAAACTGCTGTCTGGAGATATAAAGGTAGTCTAAGTGGTTGAGTTTGGAAGATCTTCTTTGACTCAATTGGTTAGAGCTCTGTCTTTAGATCCTGAAATTGAGGATCTGAATCCCGCTAGTACCATCCATGTATATTCTCAAAAGCATATTCTAACTCTTGTACTCAGCATCCCTTATACCCCAAGCAGGTAAGAACTGAAAAGAAAGCAGAATTTACTCCCAAAGCGGTTAAAATTTTGGAAATATTTAAACTTTTACAACTTGGTATTATCCCCATTTATGGTATTACAGTCACACCTTCTTGTGTTGAAAATTTGAGGTACAATATTTTTGTCAGTCCTGGCAGAATTCCAGTTTGTTCAATGCATTTCTACCTCTGATGAGTCGAACTTGGTTGATTCGAATACTCAGTAAACTTGAGTATATTTTGAAATCGTTACCTCCATGCGTGTGTCGAAGTTTGTATTAAAAGAAATTTTGGAAGTAATAGAAAATATTTCAGTTCAAAATAATGAATCCAATATTGAAATCGAAAGATTTTATTGTGCATCAAAATAAGCTTCCTTTTTAGTTCTAGGTCAATCAATTTTTGTGTATAACAATAAGATTGGCATGTAATGCCTATTGTTGTCAATAACTTTGATGTTTGGGGAACCCATTTTACCTGAGATACTTGTGGAACGAATAAATAGTGTCAAGCCAAGAAATTCTAAAAAGATCAATGAATAATGAAACTTATACTGAAACAAGGAATTATTTGAATCTTGAATAATTTTGAATTCTAGAAAATTGATAGGAAATGTATGATGAAAACTAAATAGTGTTGGCCACACACGCATGGCTAAGGTTAATTTTACTTTCATATATATTATTTATTATTTACAGAAAAAGCTTTTACTGAAGCAGATTTCCTGAAGATATGGAAAGGTCTCCACTACTGTCTATGGATGCAGGACAAAGCACTTCTACAGGTTAAAAAATAATTTAAAATGGTTTTATTAGATATTCTTTAGATATTCTAAACATATAATTTTCAGATATTATTATGATTAAAATTCCATTGGAAGTTAGTTGATAATACACCATATTGCTACTCACTCCAATCCAGATTAGTTCTGAAATTACACAACTTTTTTATGATGTCCAAACCAGTAATAGTTATCTTGAACCCTGTTTAAATCATTTATTGTGCATATAAGTTTTCATAGAGACATATTTAAACCGTGGTAAACACTTCAAACAAAGCATTTTAATGACTTTAATTTGTGTTTAAAAAATTTTGGTCATAAATTATTGAAATCTTAAAATGTTCACTTTGTTAACTGTTTCCTCTCTCAGTGATCGTCTTTGTTTTTGCAACATTTAACCCAAACAGGAAGTTTTCAAAGTATCTGATTTTACTGTGTATAATTTTCTACAATACTCAACAAACTGAAAGTCTAACATTCATGTATTGCTTAAGTTGGCTTATTAGATATATACCAATTCTAGGCAATTATTCTAAAACAAGGTTTTAAGGTTAAATTTATTCCTTAATTAGCAAATAAACATGCTAATCTCATTAAACAATAATAAAAACTCAAGATGTTACTATATTGAATAAATTATTTTCTGAGGAATAAAGATATACTTGAATATTTCATTTTGTACATTGAAATTGATAAAAATTCAGTTATTAATATCTGTGATACTTCCAGGAGGAGATGTGTGCATTTATGTCCCGTCTAGTCCATGTATTCAGTCATCCAGACAACACATTACTGTTTATACAAGTCTTCTTACAGACAGAGGCCAGGGAATGGAATGGCACAGACCGCTGGAGGATGGATAAGTTTATGATGGTATCTATCCTTCGCATTGCCTCATTGTACCTTTGAGGACGGGGACATTGAAACACTGTTCTTTTATTAGTAATTTCTGTCAAATCGCCTATGTACATATATTAAACTTATTTACTATCAAAAGTGGACTCTACTGTGGATTTATTATTATTCGTTTGATACCAATTTTCATCTGTCTAGGTAAACTTTGAATTCAAGGAAGTTAAAATTTACATAGGATGGATTACCTGCAGACTTTGGCAAAACCATGAAAATCCAATTTTTCCTCAATCCACGAAAATAAATGAATCCATAATAATTGGACGTCACGATAGTTAGATGTCAAGATTGTATAACCTGATTGTTAGTGAGGGTATCGGTTTATGGTCCATATAATGTCAATCAGTAGCATAATATGGTCCCATATGGGCCTGCTCTCAGCCATTGAAATTGCAAGAATTTTGTCAGATATGAGATGATATTTGAAAGATGATAGTAAAATTTCTAAATCAGTTTATTTATAACAAAATTGATTGTATCAAATTTTTTTTCAGTTGTTCCGTAATATGTTGACACAGTCACTGGAGTTTCTAAAGAAACAGAAATGGAAAAAGAATCTTATTACCAAGTTTACTGACATTCTGTCCAATAAGATAATGACCATTAAGGAAGACACTGCACCAGACGGACTAAAGATACATTTTACAGATATTTACTTAGATGAACTAGAGAGAGTTGGTGCTGAGGAGGTAAGGCTCAACTAAACATGCTGTTATAAATGTAAGATTGGGTACCAGATGGAGCGGAGATACATTAGCAGAAACAGTCGCTCCAGTCTGGAAATTGCGAATGATTTTTATACGCCCGTCAAAATTTAGACGGGACGTATTAAGAGAATACAAATGTTGTCTGTCCGTCTGTCTGTCCGGCGTAATCATGTCGCACCGTAAATTGAGAACGACTTATCCAAATTTCATGAAACTTAACATAGTTGTTTCTCATGATGGTCAAAAGATCTGTATACTTTTTGGTGAAAATAAGATTAAAACTTTTTGAGTTATGGGACTTAGTTACTAAAACAGGTGTGTGTTTTTATACGCCCGTCAAAATTTTGACGGGACGTATTATGGTATACAAATGTTGTCTGTCCGTCTGTCTGTCCAGCGTAAACATGTCGCACCGTAACTTGAGAATGACTTATCCAAATTTCATGAAACTTAATATAGCTGTTTCTTATGATGGTCAAACGATCTGTATACTTTTTGGTGAAAATAAGATTAAAACTTTTTGAGTTACGGGACTTAGTAACTAAAACAGGTGTGTGTTTTTTTTCACATGTCGCGCCATATCTCAAAAACAATTAATGATTATTGCTTAAAACTTTACACAACTCTTAGTTATATTAATCTTAAGATCTGTATACTTTTTGGTGACGATTCAAAATTTTATTTTAGATATATAGAAAATTTGTTAAAAAAGGGGGAGGGGTTTTTCACATGTCGCGCCGTATCTCAAAAACAGTTTATGATTATTGCTTAAAACTTTACACACTTCTTAGTTATATTAATCTCAAGATCTGTATACTTTGTGGTGATGATTCAAAATTTTATTTTTGAGTTATTGAGTATTTTGTAAAAAAAAGGGGGAGGGGTTTTTCACATATGGCGCCTTATCTCAAAAACGATTTATGATTATTGCTTAAAATTTTACACACTTCTTAGTTATATTAATCTAAAGATCTGTATAATTTTTGGTTTTGATTCAAAATTCAATTTTTGAGATATTGAGTTTTTTTTTTTTTTTAAAGGGGGGTTTTCACATGTCACTCCGTATCTCAAAAACGATTTATGATTATTGCTTAAAATTTTACACACTTCTTAATTATATTAATCTAAAGATCTGTATAATTTTTGGTTTTGATTCAAAATTTTATTTTAGAGATATTTAGTTTTTTGTAAAAAAGGGGGTTTTCGCTTGTCAGGCTGTATGTCAGAAACTATTTATGATTATTGCATAAAAATTCACACACAAGACGAAGGGCGTATCATGCGCTCATGGCACAGCTGTTTATTTTTCACATGTCGTGCCGTATCTCAAAAACAATTTATGATTATTGCTTAAAACTTAAAACACTTCTTAGTTATATTAATCTTAAGATCTGTATACATTTTGGTGATGATTCAAAATTTTATTTTAGAGAAATTGAGTATTTTGTTAAAAAAGGGGGAGGGGTTTTTCACATGTCACGCCATATCTCAAAAACAGTTTATGATTATTGCTTAAAACTTTGCACACTTCTTAGTTATATTAATCTTAAGATCTGTATACTTTTTGGTGATGATTCAAAATTTTATTTTGAGTTCTTGAGTATTTTGTAAAAAAAGGGGGAGGGTTTTTTCACATGTGGCGCCGTATCTCAAAAACGATTTATGATTATTGCTTAAAATTTTACAAACTTCTTAGTTATATTAATCTAAAGATCTGTATACTTTTTGGTTTTGATTCAAAATTTAATTTTTGAGATATTGATTTTTTTTTTTTAAAAGGGGTTTTTCACATGTCGCGCCGTATCTCAAAAACGATTTATGATTATTGCTTAAAATTTTACACACATTTTAGTTATATTAATCTAAAGATCTGTATACTTTTTGGTTTTGATTAAAAATTTTATTTTAGAGATATTGAGTTTTTTGTAAAAAAAAGGGGGTTTTCGCAATCTAGCCGTATGTCAGAAACTATTTATGATTATTGCATAAAAATTCACACACAAGATGACGGGCGTATCATGCGCTCATGGCGCAGCAGTTTATTTTTTCTGCAGTTCATCACATAATAATTACAATACAAGGAATCTCTATTACATTTGGTTTGTTTATTTACATTAGAATGTAGCAAAGTGCTCTCCACCAATGAAATTGTAGGATTTGGTGTGTCTTAATGAATGTAAATCATGTTATTATATTTAGTATGTGATTGTCCTATTGTTTAGGCCTACTACAAGTTAAAATCATAAAATTTCAATAAATGAGTTACAACTGCCTGAAGCACATTTATCAGCTGGAATGGATTACATTTTATTATTGAAATTGATTAAAAATTGTAAATAGTTAAACAAACAAAAATCAAAATTCATTGAAGTTTACTGGTGCAGTAAAAATTTGTACTGTTAAAGTTATAAATTGAATATTAATAAAATTGGTATAAATTTAAAAAATAATATCAAAGCAATGCGAAAGGAAAGAAAGAAAAGAGTCCTTTAAACTAAAAACTTAAATCTTAAAGCTATTACACTAACAAAACATCGGAGAGTTGGATTCAAATATTGTCTGTAGAATAAGATTTCCTTGTTACTAAAAGATAGAATTTTTTTATTTGAACTGTGAATTAACAAAAAGACACTTCTCACTGAATTACATTCATACTCACAATTAGGAAACTTAAACAATTCCTACCATTTAATGGTATTTGTTGGGTCATCTAATCCCTATCACATAATTTATTGAACTTTCCTGTATTATTTGATAGTCCCTACATTACCTAGACATATCCATAAATGAAATGCCTAAAAAGGAAGTCATGGATTAATAATAAACATTGCACTGAGAATGAAACAAATTCGTGATTAAAGCCAATCAATTTGAACCTTGAGCACTTTACGATATTCTAAGTTTGTAAGAGAATGGAAATCCCTTTCTTCATGGCAAGTACTGGCTACGCTCATTCTTAATCAGGAAGAAAAGGATTATCATTCTCTTACATATGCGTAGCAAATTGTAAGGAATATTTTTTATCTTCCTATTGTACTCTCAAATACATATAATCAAAGCTATTGTCCTAATTATCACCCATGACATTATGAAAGGTGCTGAAAGGTTATGTGCATAATGCTATTCTTAGCTCAGTATAAATCATAAAGTATTTAACAAACTAACTACATTGTATTTTTTGTTTCAAAGACAGACTTGAAACAAATAATTATAAGATCTCATAAGGAGTAAACATGATTATTTGAAATAAAAAGTTGCAGTTTTTCATTTTTACATGCCTTTCAGACTTTTCAATCAAGAAAGTTTTTCTAGCTCTATATTTGATAGATAGACACAGACATAAAAAGTCAAAAGTAACTGAAATAGAGTAATAGAATATGTGTAACAAAAGAGGGCTTCATCATAGGGACTTAAAAAGGTAAAAGTTGCAAAGGTAGAAGAATGCAGTATTTAAACATGTACAGAAAACAAAAAACCATTGTCTAAAATAAAACAAATGATTTGATTGATGTACAGAAGTACAATGTATAATCAGATCAGCAGAATACGCTTTACTGATTTTACCCTATGGAGTAAGTTCTGTAAGGGCCATATTTGGCACTGATTATTAAGTTCAATGTATCTAGATAAAAAATGTTTTAAGTTGATAAAAATACATGTGAGAAAGTTAAATAGAACAATTTTTGTCAGTTTTTTTTTAAAGCCTTAATACCTTATAAATAGAGATTTTTGCAAAATTGGACAAAATCGTCCACATTTCAACCAAATTAAGTCCTAGGCAACATAGCGCCCAGGTGTCAACAAACTAAATATTCAAGTAAGATATGTGAAATATTATAACAAACATTATGTTAAAAGGTCTTGTTTGTCGACACATGCGATCTATGTTTCCTGTCCAAAAACTTGGAAAATCAATACAAGTGATATTTGAGACGTCATGAATAGTACGCAAGAATGTAAATTTTCAACAAAATGATGTATTTCCTATCTAGTCATTGTTTTAGCTATGATTCATTGGTCAATAAATCCTAATTTCAAATTTAAGCTAGAATGAGGGGTCATTTTAGGGCCTTATCGAACCTACTCCTTTGAGTTGTCTCTCCTTCATTAGTTTTACTCTCACCCACCTTTAGTTGAAAAATGTTGACTCATTCTTTATCACTGTCCTGCTGATATCAAGAAAACCAGAATTAGGGCCTTATCGAACCTACTCCTTTGAGTTGTCTCTCCTTCATTAGTTTTACTCTCATTCCCCTTTAGTTGAAAAATGTTGACTCATTCTTTATCACTGTCCTGCTGATATCTAGAAAACCAGAATTATATGCATTTATTGGAATGACTTTTAAGTGGGTGATGTGCTTGGTGGGGAGATTTCCTCCTCTTTGGATGTTATATTTAAGAACATTGTACTAAAACATATCTTACCATTGCTACTTTTATCCACATCTTTCATATTAAAACTTGCACAATTCCCTTAGCCCATACCCATTACTATAATCTTAAACAAAATTTCAACAGACTTTACATCCAAGATAAGTTTTAATTAATGATTTTTTAAATTTGACATTTCAAGCAAGCAGTACAAAATTACTTTAGTTCTCTTGTTTTCTATTTACAGTTAGCTCCAGGAAAAGTTTTGAGTTTATTGGCACCATTCTCTAATTATTTACAGAACTCCAGAAAGTAAGTGATTTTGTTTGCTTTGTGTGTATTTCTTTGGGTGCATCCATTATCCAATTTTCCCTGAATATTATTTTAAACATGTGACTTTTCACTTAAATTGTTTTATACATTCAGAACTTCATAAAGCAAAGGACTTATAGATTTATCCTTGATCGTCTGTATTCAGAGATGTCCTGATTTGAATAAGTTTTGTGTTTAGGGCCATTTCTCAATGTTTTGACTTTGAATGTTTTACATAGTTTACCTGTTTTAAAGTATTACCATTATAATTTCAACATTAGCATTATAGTATCAAAATTATATACAGACAAGACATATCTCTGTGTCAACAGATATTTTTTTAATTGCAGCCCTGTTGTGGTTGGTAGAGTTGTATCTAGGGTGTTTGATGCGATTATACAACAAACAGTGGATGATGCAATGATTGCAGCTGAAAAACAAATAGAGGTATGAACACAGATTGCTGTATTTTTCTGCACATAAGACTACTCAATCAAAAGATATTGTGCAATATTCCCAAATATTGCAGGCAGAGCAATATTGTTTGAAATTGATAGCATAATCTGTATTTAAATAAAGTGTTTTATCATTTAAAAAGTATTTCCATAAAATAAAAGGTCATTCCACATACATGTATATTGGTGAATATTACCTCTGAAAAAATGCATGTCCTATATAATTTAAATTCTAAACTTCATAGTACAAGTAGCAGTGCAATAATCCATTATATAAGTAAATTGCATATAAAATGAGGAGATGTGGTATGGTTGCCAATGCTTTTCCTAATTATGGATATTTTGAGTTAAAGCAATGTTGCTCCATGTTAGTAAATTTATGAACTACTTACAAGGTTATTGTTAATTCAGTTAAATCATTTATTCAATAATGAAGGTTTTGTTGCAAGTGTCTCATAATAATGTTGGAGAAAAAAAGAAGATTAAAAATAATTGCATATATGGAATATTTTTACAAGAGAGTACAAAAGTCCAAAAAATTCACATATGTACTTAGATAATGATATTTAATAAATAATTTCTGTTGACAGAAAGAAGAAGGAGACAGTGATAATGAAGAAAACAGTGACGAAGAAGAAAAAGAAGACACTGAAGATCCTGAAGATATAGATATTCCACCTAGACTTCAGGTTGATTTTTATACGACTGCAAAAATTTTTTGTGTCTTATAATGCTATCATGTCGTCGTTTGCATTGTCCGAAGACGCATTTAGTTTCTGGACAATAACTTTAGTTTAAGTGAATGGATCTCTATGAAATTTTACCATAAGGTTCAATACCACAAAAGAAAGGTTGGGATTGATTTTGGGGGTTATGGTACCAACAGTTAAGGAATTAGGGGCCAAAAAGGGGCCAAAAATAAGCATTTTTGTAACTTCCAGACAATAACTTGTGTGTTAGTGTGTGGATCTCTCTGACATTGTACCACAAGGTTCCATATCACAAAGGGAATGCTGGGATTGATTTTGGGGGTAATTGCCTCAAAATTTTAGGAATTATGGGCCAAAAAAGGGGCCAAAAACAAGCATTTTCCTAGTTTCATGACAATAACTTGTGTGTAAGTGTATGGATCTTTCTGAAATTGTTCTACAAGGTTTCATATCACAAAGGGAAAGCTGGAATTGAGTTTGGGGGGTAATTGCCCAAAACGTTTAGGAATAAGGGGCCAAAAAGGGGGCAAAAATAAGCATTTTTCTAGTTTCCAGACAATAACATGTGTTCAAGTGTATGGATCTCTCTGAAATTGTACTGCAAGGTACCATACCACAAAGGGAAGGCTGGAATTGATTTTTGGGGTAATTGCAGGGGTTCAAATTAACATTTGGTACCGGAAGGTCCAGGACCTTTGACACTCCAAACTGAAAGGTCCACAACCTAAATTCCAGGTCCTATTTTTACTTGAAATATTTCCTAACATAGTAAGATACAAGTTACAAAATTAATGTGCTGTTGGTGTTAGGTCAACTTGTTTCATTGTCAAAGTCACTGTTGTATAAAATATTTAATAACAATTGTAATTGTCTTGTATATTATAAATTCAGATAATATTTTTTTTTTGTTATTGAGGAGGGTGTCACCATGGGTGGGTGTCTTGTCTCAACTATTGGTAATTTATTACTACTTAGTACTTAAACCATTTTATAAAACAGTTCAACTTCAAAGCTCTTTAAGCAGAGACGTATATACATGTGTATATATGTCTCTGGTTTAAGTGTATCATATCTAGTTGCACTATTATAATGCATTAGTTCCTCTGTGAAAATAAGATAAGAAACTTCCAGATTTGTACTGGTCCTTTAAAATTGAGAAGACATTACCTCTTGGAATTGTAGTAATACGTTTACACTATACAAAAATCTACATGTAATATCAATATTTATTAATGATAAAGAAAATTACTGTCACATTTTTTTGGATTTTGAGATGAAAATTTATGAACTAAAAGTAATTTTGAGTTTCTGTAAAAAAATATTTCCTACTTTTTCTTTCTTTTCAATATATCTTTTGGTTTTCAATTCTAGTGTTTATATTTTATCATCATAGATGTATTTTGTCAACTGCCTGGAATTATTATTTTTTCATTGTATTTGATCGGCAAACCCGGAATTACCCTTATCTGCTCCGGAATCGGATCCGTTTTTTTTTTATTTTCTTAATTTCCGGTTTTTGGCATCCAATGTTTTTCAATGTTGTTTTGTCAGTCAGATACGATTTTACTCGGATTTACACAGTACTAGTTGGCAATTTTCGGTATAAAGCTAGCGGTTGAACAAAATGAACAGCGCTGTCATGAATAATAATGATGAAAACAAATTTTGAGATTGTTTGGAAATTTTTGTTTAAAAAGGTCGGCAAAGATTATTTTTATTTTCTTTCAACCCGAAGGTCCGTCGGGCGTAGCTTTTAACCAAAACGAGAGTCCGACTGCAAAAATGGAAGGTCGCGGACCTCGTACCACCGCTAATTTGAACCCCTGTAATTGCCTCAAAATTTTAGGAAATATGGGCCAAAAAGGGGCAAAAAACAAGCATTTTTCTAGTTTTGGGACAATAACTTGTGTGTAAGTGTATGGATCTTTATGAAATTGTACTACAAGGTTCCATATAACAAAAGGAAAGCTGGGTTTGAGTTTGGGGGTAATTGCCCTAAACATTTAGGAATTTGGGGCCAAAGAGGGGCCAAAAAACAAGCATTTTTATAGTTTCCAGACAATAACTTGTGTTCAAGTGTATGGATCTCTCTGAAATTGTACTGCAAGGTACCATACCACAAAGGGAAGGCTGGAATTGATTTTTGGGGTAATTGCCTCAAAATTTTAGGAAATATGGGCCAAAAAGGGGCAAAAAACAATCATTTTTCTAGTTTTGGGACAATAACTTGTGTGAAAGTGTATGGATCTTTATGAAATTGTACTACAAGGTTCCATATAACAAAAGGAAAGCTGGGTTTGAGTTTGGGGGTAATTGCCCTAAACATTTAGGAATTTGGGGCCAAAGAGGGGCCAAAAAACAAGCATTTTTATAGTTTCCAGACAATAACTTGTGTTCAAGTGTATGGATCTCTCTGAAATTGTACTGCAAGGTACCATACCACAAAGGGAAGGCTGGAATTGATTTTTGGGGTAATTGCCTCAAAATTTTGGGAAATATGGGCCAAAAAGGGGCAAAAAACAAGCATTTTTCTAGTTTTGGGACAATAACTTGTGTGAAAGTGTATGGATCTTTATGAAATTGTACTACAAGGTTCCATATAACAAAAGGAAAGCTGGGTTTGAGTTTGGGGGTAATTGCCCTAAACATTTAGGAATTTGGGACCAAAGAGGGGCCAAAAAACAAGCATTTTTATAGTTTCCAGACAATTACTTGTGTTCAAGTGTATGGATCTCTCTGAAATTGTACTGCAAGTTACCATACCACAAAGGGAAGGCTGGAATTGATTTTTGGGGTAATTGCCTCAAAATTTTAGGAAATATGGGCCAAAAAGGGGCAAAAAACAAGCATTTTTCTAGTTTTGGGACAATAACTTGTGTGTAAGTGTATGGATCTTTATGAAATTGTACTACAAGGTTCCATATAACAAAAGGAAAGCTGGGTTTGAGTTTGGGGGTAATTGCCCTAAACATTTAGGAATTTGGGGCCAAAGAGGGGCCAAAAAACAAGCATTTTTATAGTTTCCAGACAATAACTTGTGTTCAAGTGTATGGATCTCTCTGAAATTGTACTGCAAGGTACCATACCACAAAGGGAAGGCTGGGATTGAGTTTGGGGTGATGAATCATAAGGAGGTTCAAAAAATTTTGGGGGGGGGGAGATTTTTTTTTCCTTATTTTCCTTTTTTTTTCTTTAGAATTTTCCATTTTAAGTTGGTTATTTTGGATTTATATATAAAAGCAAATAATAATGATATGGTTTGATTTCATCAAAAATTGAAATAATGGGGTTCTTTGATATGCTGAATCTAACTGTGTATTTAGATTCTTAATTTTTGGTCCCGTTTTCAAATTGGTCTACATTAAGGTCCAAAGGGTCCAAAATTAAACTTAGTTTGATTTTAACAAAAATTGAATTCTTGGGGTTCTTTGATATGCTGAATCTAACCCTGTATGTATTTAGATTTTGGATATTGGACCATAATAGGTAAATTAAAAAATTTTAAGTTCTTAGACCACATTCATTCTGTGTCAGAAACCAATGCTGTGTCAAATATTTAATCACAATCCAAATTCAGAGCTGTATCAAGCTTGAATGTTGTGTCCATACTTGCCCCAACTGTTCAGGGTTAGACCTCTGTGGTCGTATCAAGCTGCGCCCAGCGGAGCATTTTATTTATATGCATGAAGAAATATTCTACAATGAAATCAGTTCAGGAAATTTAAATACCTTTATATGTAACAATAAAACTATTTTAGTAACAGTTTTTTTTTATCCAATTAGACACATGTGAGGACATACCCTTCTTTTATGTTACAGTAAGGTTCTCAAGCCAATCAGAAATATTGTTCTTATAAGGCAACAGTAAAGAGCCCTTGTTTTCTGTTTCGTAATGATTTTAAAGAATATCAATCCTGCTTATTTAAGAAGAAAAACTGGATTTTCAAATGAATTTTCAAATGGATTTTTAAGATGATCTAGTCTAGTCAGCATTGCAGCATTATCTCATCATGTGTTCTCTATTTTACTTAGATGTTAAAAATGTTCCATTTAAGGTTGCAGTCTTGTAATTGACTGCTCCATAGGCTTACATGCAAAACAGCTGATCTTTGAAAATAAAAAAATAAAAAATGCTACATAGAAAAAAAATTTCATGTTCATATCATGTATGTACTAATGTGAAATTGTGATTTAATTAAAAAAAAAGTGGGTCATGCCACGAAGAATAAAAAGTTATGTAACCCTGAAGTCAAAACATTTTTTTTCTACTTTCTGTTTGCTGTTTGTACTAGGCCGCACCACTTCCAGTAAACATGATATCCTTCCACTTTCCTGGATTGATATCCCCAAAAAGATGCCAGATTTTTTTTAAGTCTATATATATGTTTCAATTCAGCATAAACCTATAATCAAACAGAAAAAATTGAGTCCAGAAAAAAATTCAGAAAAAATTGGACTATTTTGTTTCCCTCCATGTTTTGACATGCACCGGAAACTGGAGTTGTAAGACAAGACTGGTACCTTAAGCACATTAAAAAATGTTCTCCCCACTTTCTGTTTTTAGTCTCCTTCAGACAGTCAAAGTGACAATTTCCCATACTTTACATTGCAGTGGGTACAGATGTTGATCTGATTTTTAATTTTAAATGTTAGTTATTAAAGTAACAGTTCAAATTTTAGATTTATTCTGGTTGTTCCTTTGACTTAGACTCCTGCCTAGATAGATATCCCTGATTCCTTGATTCCATTATAGACTTTGGGGAAATCTGTGATGGATGCATTCAAGCTATCAAAAAAAATGTCACCTAAATATTTTTCTGAAGGATCGCCAAGTTCACAATGACAGGCTATTAAACAGGGTTTCTACTTTAAGGCTTACAGTGTAATCTACCTTTTTTGTCGAGCCTTCGACTTTTGTCGAAAAAGCGAGACATAGCGATCCTACATTCCGTCGGCGTCGGCGGCGTCCACAAATATTCACTCTGTGGTTAAAGTTTTTGAAATTTTAATAACTTTCCTAAACTATCCTGGATTTCTACCAAACTTGGACAGAAGCTTGTTTATGATCATAAGATTATATTCAAAAGTAAATTTTGTAAAAAAAAAAATCCATTTTTTCCGTATTTTACTTATAAATGGACTTAGTTTTTCTGCCAGGAAACATTACATTCACTCTGTGGTTAAAGTTTTTGAAATTTTGATAACTTTCTTAAACTATCCTGGATTTCTACCAAACTTGGAAAGAAGCTTGTTTATGATCATAAGATAGTATCCAGAAGTAAATTTTGTAAAAAAAAAATTCCATTTTTTCTGTATTTTACTTGTAAATGGACTTAGTTTTTCTGCCAGTTAACATTACATTCACTCTGTGGTTAAAGTTTTTAAAATTTTAACAACTTTCTTAAACTATCCTGGATTTGTACCACACTTGGACAGAAGCTTGTTTATGATCAAAAGCTAGTATCTAGAAGGAAATTTTGTTCATTTTTTCCGTATTTTACTTATAAATGGACTTAGTTTTTCTTCCAGTTAACTTTACATACAGTCTGCAGTTAAAGTTTTAAAAACATTTATTAGATTCAAAAACCATCCTGGATTTTTACCAAACTTGGACAGAAGCTACTTACAATCAAAAGATAGTATAGAGAGGAATATTTTTATTAATTTTTTTCCTCATTTTTGTTGAGCCTGCGATTAACAGCAAAAGTAGGCGAGACACTGGGTTCCGCGGAACCCTTACGAATTTTTTTTTTTTTTTTTATAAACTTTATGCTTTAAAAAGATTTTGAACAATTATTGTCCTGAAGATATATATTGATAGCTGTGTTTAAGGAAAGAGGAAAGGAGATAAGAAACTGTTTTAAAATTCCCTGTGTATTACTTGATGTATTTTGAAACATCCATCTGGATCTTTGTATGGAATAAAGATGTTGTTTAATGCTTCATAGAACCAACAAATCTTTAAGAATGGCTGAAAATATGTTCTTATGTTGATACAGTGAAAAATATTGTAAACATCCGAACTCTTACGAAAAGCTAATTGTTTTATGAATATAAAATTTGCTATCTTTTTTGTACCCAAATTCAAATGTTACAAAAATACCTGTCAATCAATACATTGATGATCAAAGGCTAAAATAAAATATGATTAATAATCCTTAATATTGATTAATGCACACTTGTTGTTATATATGATTCTTTTCCTGGTACATGTACGTTTGCATGATTAGATGTGTTATACTTATACTGAATTATCTCCCTTGTTTCTGTTTTAGTTTGACTTTAAAGCTGCATGATTAGATGTGATATACTTATACTAAATTATCTCCCTTGTTTCTGTTTTAGTTTGACTTTAAAGCTGCATAATTAGATGTGATATACTTATACTAAATTATCTCCCTTGTTTCTGTTTTAGTTTGACTTTAAAGCTATAGCAGACGCATTGTTCCAGTTAGGCAGCAATAAAGACTGTGTTAGTAAGAACAGGAACAGAATCTACAGACTTGTCAAAAGGTAAGCTGTAGTATACATTAAGATGATGATGATGATGGATGGCTGCTTAACGTCCAGCGACAAATTAATATGCATATTCAGGACGAGAATGTTAATGTAATGTGAATATTTACCCTGCTTTGTACCAGACAGACATACTGAGCTGGATTTTTAACGTGTAGCAAGTAACAGTCCACATGAAGACATGTCACCTTACCCAAACACATTATTCTGACTCCGAGCAGACCAGTCTTTGCTCTTACTCCATAATGCCGCATGTTTAGCGGAGAAGCAGCAAATACCAATTTTAAAGTCTTCGGTTTGACCTGGCGGGGTTTTGACCCATGACCTCCTGCACTAGAGGTGAACATGAGACCACGAGGCGGTTTGTATACATTAAGAATGTGTTATTTAACAGGAAAGTTTATCTGCTGACTGTGTGCAATTTAGAATACATTAATATATGTTCTAATTTCAGAAGGAAAATTTTTAAACAATAGGTAACATTTGAGTAAGTTTAACCAGTAGTTTTTTAACATTTTTCAAATGATACTCAAGTCCTCGAAGTTGGAAGCCACTGCTAGCATGTGTGTAGTGGCATCATCTATATATCTAAGTGCTGATATAATTTAAAAAAAAAAACCAACTAGTATTGTACTAGTGTAAGGATTTGAAATCTACAGACATGCTCAATTTTATTTATTAGTAAGAAGATTCTATTCTAATCTTTCATTTTGTTGTAGATTTCAGGATTTGAATGAAGGTATATTGCCAAAAGAGAAGGTTGATGAAGAAGAGGGGGATGTTTTAAAAAAGAAAGATATCTCTCTAGCTGTTCAAAGATTGGAGAATTTGGAGGTTCGCAAAAAGAAAAAAAAGAAGAAGAAAAAGAAAAACAACTTGCAGGGTGAAAATGAAGGTAGTCAATACATTTTTAGAAAGATATAGGCTATATTTGGTTCCTTTTTATACGACCGCAAAAAAAATTTTGCGATCGTATATTGGTATGACGTTGGCGTCGTCGTCGACGTCCGAAGACACATTGGTTTTCGCACTCTAACTTTAGTTTAAGTGAATGGATCTCTATGAAATTTTACCATAAGGTTCAATACCACAAAAGGAAGGTTGGGATTGATTTTGGGGGTTATGGTACCAACAGCTAAGGAATTAGGGGCCAAAAAGGGGCCAAAAATAAGTATTTTTGTAACTTCCAGACATAACTTGTTTGTAAGTGTATGGATCTCTCTGACATTGTACCACAAGGTTCCATATCACAAAGGGAATGCTGGGATTGATTTTCGGGGTAATTGCCTCAAAATTTTAGGAATTAGGGGCCAAAAAAGGGGCAAAAAACAAGCATTTTTATATGGACAAATACTTTAGTACAAAACATAATTTAAAGCAGTGTAAGGGAGATAAATCAAATACATCATTTGAATTACCTCCCTTACACTGCTTTTAAATTATGTATAAAGTAATGGTTAATGAACAATTAAGACAATTTAAAACAGTGTAAATGAGGTAATCCAAATACAACGTTTTGGTTACTTCCCTTACACTGCTTTTAAATTATGTTTAAAGAAATGCATATTTATAAAGGAAGACCAGTAAAAATATCTGCAAATGTTGCATCTTTTTTTTTTTTACAAAAAAATCCATATGAAAGATTTGACACCATATTTTAAATTCTATTATAAAATAGATTAAGTTAGCACTATGGTAAATTTAAATGGGTAATTATGGTTGCAAATTCCATTGGAAATTTGAATTAAGATTATGACCATATCTTGAGGGAAAGAATTTTTTGGGGGAAAAAGTAGGGGGGGGGGGGGGGGTATAAAATTGTGGGGGGTCAATTTATTCTCATTTCAGATTTCAGAAATTAAAAAGAATTATTCTTCAAATATTTTTTTTTTTTTTTCAAATTTCAAATATTGAAAAATTTCATGAAGTAATCTTTAATTGCCCAGTATGGCGCATTAGATTTGTAAAATCTTTGACCACATTTATTTATTTGTTATGCCAAATCTGACCGTGTATTTAGATTTTAATTTCGGGTCCAGTTTTCAAATTAGTCTACATTAAGGTCCAAAGGGTCCAAAATTGAACTTAGTTTGATTTTAACAAAAATTGAATATATGGGGTTCTTTGATATGCTGAATCTAAACGTATTTAGATTTTTGATTTCGGGCCCAGTTTTCAAGTTGGTCCAAATTGGGGTCCAAAATTAAACTTTGTTTGATTTCAACAAAAATTGAATATATGGGGTTCTTTGATGTGCTGAATCTAACCATGTATTTAGATTTTTTATTTGGGGCCCTGCTATCAAATTGGTTCATATTGAGGTCAAAAGGGTCCAAAATTAAACTTTTGTTTTATTTCATCAAAAATTGAATTATTGGGGTTCTTTGATATGCCAAATCTAACCGTGTATTTAGATTTTTAATTTTGGGTCCAGTTTTCAAATTGGTCTACATTAAGGTCCAAAGGGTCCAAAATTAAACTTAGTTTGATTTCAACAAAAAATTGAATATATGGGGTTCTTTGATATGCTGAATCTAAACATGCATTTAGATTTTTGATTTCGGGCCCAGTTTTCAAGTTGGTCCAAATTGGGGTCCAAAATTAAACTTTGTTTGATTTCAACAAAAATTGAATATATGGGGTTCTTTGATATGCTGAATCTAACCATGTATTTAGATTTTTTATTTGTGGGCCCCGCTATCAAATTGGTTCATATTGAGGTCAAAAGGGTCCAAAATTAAACTTTGTTTTATTTCATAAAAAATTGAACTATTGGGGTTCTTTGATATGACAAATCTAACCGTGTATTTAGATTTTTAATTTTGGGTCCCGTTTTTTAAATTGGTCTACATTAAGGTCCAAAGGGTCCAAAATTAAACTTAGTTTGATTTAAACAAAAATTGAATTCTTGGGGTTCTTTGATATGCTGAATCTAAACATGTGTTTAGATTTTTGATTATGGGCCCAGTTTTCAAGTTGGTCCAAGTTGGGGTCCAAAATTAAACTTTGTTTGATTTCAACAAAAATTGAATATATGGGTTCTTTGATATGCTGAATCTAACCATGTATTTTGATTTTTGGGCCCCGTTATCAAATTGGTCCACATTGAGGTCAAAAGGGTCCAAAATTAAACTGTTTGATTTCATCAAAAATTGAATTCTTTGGATTCTTTGATATGCTGAATCTAACCATGTATTTAGATTTTGGATATTGGACCATAATAGGTAAATTAAAAAAATTTAAGTTCTTAGACCACATTCATTCTGTGTCAGAAACCTATGCTGTGTCAAATATTTAATCACAATCCAAATTCAGAGCTGTATCAAGCTTGAATGTTGTGTCCATACTTGCCCCAATTGTTCAGGGTTCGACCTCTGTGGTCGTATCAAGCTGCGCCCAGCGGAGCATTTTATTAAATTATGTGAAATTACGAAAATTGCATGAAAAAACATCTTGAAGACATTTTTTCTTAGCTATTTGGGAAAATTGGGAGGCAAAATTAAAAGGTAAATGATGAATATTATATGCATGTAACATGAACAATTCAATTATATACATGAGCCTTAAAATTACATAACACATAAAACTGTAATGATTGCTTGATTGTTGCTTGCTTAGTGTAAGGTGGGAAATAAATATAGGCAATAGTAGTATATTGTGTTCAACAGTCATAAATCGATTGAGAGAAAACTAATCCAGGTCACAAACCAAAACCGAGGGAAACACATCAACTTTAAGAGGAAAACAACGGAACAGCAGAAACACTGAACGCTACAAAAATAAACATGCATAGAAACGGACTATTTGATAACAACTACCATATTCCTGACTTGGTACAGGACATACAAGTCATACATTATCAGGACAAGAACAAATTAACAATTTATACAATTAGAAGGTAAGGAAAGGTAGGTCTATCAGGGTGACGTAAAATTTTCTACTGTTAAATGAGGGTATGTTGAGTAGAGTAAGAAATAGTGCCTTGCAACAGGTTCACTATGATCCTATCAGGAGTTTGTTGCAAGGGTTTTTTAACATATAGAATGTGTCAGCCTTCACAGGGCTTCAGATTTTGCGTTTCCAATCTAACCAAACATATATGTGTATTGAAACATCCCACACAGCCGAAAAGCTGAACATACAGATTAAAGCATCCATTTCTATTTCACACTTCATTTGGTTTATCTGAATATCACAGATAATTCAAAAACTTACATATTAGATTTAAAATGACATTAAAAGGGAATTCAGGGACGTTTTGCTAAATTTATTTAATAGCACAGGTATCGCTCAAAAAGATTTTTTATCAGCAAGTGCATCTTCACAAAAAACCTTTGTTGTGATTCTAAAATTCAGCCATTGTTGAAAAATTTGAAAGAATTGTATAAAAATCATATAGAGACAGATTTTTTTTTTACTGTATCATGTTGCTAAGTGCATTTTTTCATTCATGATGTTAAAATTTTCATTGATTGACCAACCCTCCATTTTGAAAATTAAAAAGAAAGAAATACTTTACTCTTGTTGAAGCAGTGGTAGAATAACTATGTTTATATCTCCAGGATCACAAGTTGGTGAAACAGAAAATCTCAATTCTAAACCAGAAACAAAGAAAGTGAAAAGGAAAAATGGAGACCTGAATACAGAACCTTCTTTGTCTCCCTTGAAGAAAAAGAAAGAAGTAAAAGAGCGTCAAATAGATACAGAAAAGAAAGAAACTAATCAAGAAATGAAAAACCAAGCCCTGAGAGTTAGTCCAAAATTAACATCAGCAAAGAAGACAGGCAAACAGAAGAAAAAACTAAATAACATGCATGAAGCTTCGCCAGAAATAAAAGTACAAGGCAGCAAAATGAAATCTGATATAAAGAAAATTGAAATCAACGACAGTATCTCATGTTCAGCTCAGAAAGGCAGCAATAATAAAAACACTGACACAGATCAAGTTGACAATAGTGTTATTCTAGATTTATCTCTTATTACTTCAGCAAAGAAAAAGAAAGGAAACAAATATAATGCTACATCAATATTGTCAGAGTCCATGGGAGATAACTCTACACCATCAAAAAGTAAGCACAAACTAAATGACAAGTCTTTTGATCAAAGTATGGCTGAAGTATTTGACAATGTTAGTCATGACAATTCCAACAAAACAAAGAATGAACAGGTTATTACAGTGAAAGCTAAGAAAAAAAGAAAAAGCTCTGTGAATATAGAAGAATCAGTGATGGAAGAGAAAAATGTTTCGACTCCATCGTCCAAGAAAACTCCAAAAAGTAAAAATTCAGAAGCGAAAATGATGAAACTGATAGAAGAGAGTAAAAGTAACAGTTCACCAAAATCTGAAGGATCAGGGTTTGCTAAGTTTGACACATTGATGAAGACGCCACCTGCCTTTGTTAGAAAATCTGTCAACAAACTGAAAAGACCAAAGTCGGCCATCAAAAAGGTAAAGTTGTAGTTGTTATTGATTAATATCATGAAGTTCCAATTAAATCAATGCTCTTGACAATCTTGATCTTGATGTAAGGTGTTTAGCTCAAGGTTAAAAACAATACAGTCACTTACAAGATGAAAAACTGCAATGAACATCATGAAAGTGGTGTTCCTTTTTATTTTTTTTAATTATCTTGATATTGTAGTCTAAAGTACATCCACAAAAAAGACTTTTATGTCTTGTTATTGTAATATTAACAATCTTTAAAATAATCTCAGTGAAATTTGACTTATTCGGATAATTTGTAAGGTGGTTTCAGTTAATCTAAAAGACAATTGGTAATTTTACTGTATGTGCACCAAAGGGAAAAAACAGTAGGTCATTGGTTGTATTTCCATTGGTTTGGACATAGTTAACTAATCACAACCATTAGTGTGTGTGTGTTTCAACAGCTTAGAAATATTACCCAGAGTGGACTAGATCCCGAAATGGTGAATAGATTGCCTTAAAAAAAAGTTTTTCAAAAAATCATACGGCTTAAGTTGTTTTGTATACTGAATTGTTCATGACTAACGATCAACTTTAGTCGTAAGATTTTTTGTGAAATTGATCACTGTATTTAACCATTTTAAAAGTTGTGATGAATACCATTCATATGTTGTATAATTAAGAAGGCTAATATAAAAAAAGGCAATGAGTATTTTAAAACGTTTCTTGAATAATTATACATTATCAAACAAAGAAAAGACTACTTACTAAAAAAATTATTTTCTCTTAAAGGTGGATAGAAAATCATTAATATGGTATTAATAAATGCTTATGCTGGAAATATTGTCAACCTTCTGGTATCAGATTATAAAACAATTCTTGTTTTTATCTGGAAGATGACCTGTGTTAACAAGCAGTTAAGGTTTCTATTATCATGAAATTTTGAAAGGAATTATTCCTACTTTTCTTGTTCATTACAGCAAACATTGGAAGCTCCTACCTCCTGTCCTCCAGATTCAAAGAAAAAAGTCATCTTCAACATGAAGAAAAATGATTCAATAAGTATGTTATAATTCATTTCCTCAAATATATTGTAATTGGTAATTGATTTTGAAATTTGTAGTTTTAGCATGTTTGTATATTGATGAAAATTTAAATAAGTGGGTCATGTTTTTAACACAGATTTGTCTCAGAGTTGTTATGTTACAAGTTTGCTTATCTTCAAAGTCTGTGCTGCACATTGTTAGTAAATGCAGTGCATAGATTTAGAACGTATGGTTACTTACACAACTTGACTGTCTGTTATGTACACATTATGATTTTTAGATAAGCATAAGAATGGCCAAATATCCAGAATTACTCAAGAATTGTAACTAATTTTAATGTGGTCTGAGAATCCAAGCTATTTATATCCTTAAGATTATTATTTTCTCTAAAAAATCATACTTCTTACTATTAATATTTTCCAGGTTTTCAGGACAGTATAAAGTTCAGTCCAGGAGTCTTTAATCCAACTAAAACAGCAGACCATGGAATTCTGAAGACACCATCACCAGCCATGACTCGCAGTCAGTCTTTAAAGAAACGTAGAGCATCAACTGGAGTTATTAAAAGGCCAAAAGCAGCAGATTTCTTTTAAAACTGACATTTTAGTGAAGATCTGAACTTTGATAGAAATCTTTATGTTGATATTCTGTTCAGCTACATTCAAGATAGCACAAGATTCATGTTGATTAACCAAAGTTTGTACTCTGTATGAATTTAGAATTCCATCTTCAGTATTTTTAATTATTTAATATGTTCATGAAAGATGCAAATCTGTATCTAAAAAGATTAATAAAAGAAAACCTGAAAAAATTAATCCACATACTATTTTCAAATATTGAAATCTTGCAAATAATACATTTTCCATATCCCATATAACTGTTCTTAGAAATTAAGATTAATCACATTTGTGCCTGAAATTTAAATGCAGTTAAGTCTCATTATCTTTCAAACTTGTTGAACAAATTTTTAATGAGTTGAAATTCAGCAGTGGACAGCAAGTATCATATAGTTTTAATCCTGTTGAGTTGAAATTTGTATATGACTGCAAAAAATTTTTTGGGATCGTATAATGGTATGATGTTGTCTGCGTCGTCTGTGTCGTCGTCCGAAGACACATTGGTTTTCGGACAATAACTTTAGTTTAAGTTAATGGATCTCTATGAAATTTTTTAAGAAGGTTCAATACCACAAAAGGAAAGTTTGGTTTGATTTTAAGGATGATGGTCCCAACCGTTGAGAAATTAGGGGCCCAAAGCAAACATTTTTCTAGTTTCAGGATAATAACTTGTGTATAAGTATTTCGATTGCTCTGAAATTGTACAACAATGTTTAATACCACAAGTAGAAGGTTTGGATTCATATTAGGGGTTATGGGGCCAACAGTTTAGGAATTAAGGGCCTAAAAGAGCCAAAAACAACAATTTTTGTAGTTTCCGGACAATAACTTGTGTGTAAGTGTATGAATCTCTCTGATATTGTATCATAAGGTTCCATATCACAAAGGGAAGGCTGGGATTGAGTTTGGGGGTAATTGCCTCAAACATGTAGGAATTAGGGGCCAAAAAAGGGCCAAAAACATGCATTATTCTAGTTTCCAAACAATAACTTGTGTTAGATGTGTATGGATCTCTCTGAAATTGTACTACAAGGTTCCATACTACAAAGGAAAGAATTGGATCGAGTCTTGGGGTAATTGCTCCAAGGGGGGATTCCAAAACTCGGGGGTTCGACCTCTGCGGTCGTATCAGGCTGCGCTCAGCGAAGCATTTTATAGTCGTTTGAATGAAAGTCACTATCAAAGACCATCAAAAGGTTAACAAATTATTAGATTTTTACTTATGATCTAGCATCAATGAACAATGTCAAAAAAGATCACCTTTATAATATCTGGTTGAATACTGTTATGACTTGTTATATTTTTATGGGGTATCTATTTTAATTATTTAATTTACTGTCATCATAATCATACAGTATATCAGTTAAGTTCTTGTGTACACTTAAAACTGAATGCTTTTTTAAATTTTATATAAGAAACTTCTTGAATAAGCCACAGTATAACGCATGGTTTTTAGTAACCGTAGGTTGACGAATCAGATTACATCTACTGGGGCCATGAATTATGTTACTGCATTTTCCTATTTGTTAATGACGGTAATGAATTATACCAAAACTGTTATTTATGCAATGTAATTGAAATATAATTTCCTATATTAAAGTTATATTATTAATTTGCTTTTCTCACAATATTTTTTATATTAATGATACAAGTATTAAGCCCAAGAAGGTGTACATCTGCATCATGACAGTTTACAATCTCATTTTTCATAGAGGATAGATATAGGAAGATGTGGTATGAGTGCCAATGAGACAACTCTCCATCCAAGTTACAATTTATAAAAGTAAACCATTATAGGTCAAGGTACGGCCTTCAACACGGAGCATTGGCTCACACCGAACAGCAAGCTATAAAGGGCCCCAAAAACTTACTAGTGTAAAACCATTCAAACGGGAAAAACCAACGGTCTAATCTATATAGAAACGAGAAACACATATGAACTACATAAACAGACGATAACTACTGTAATCAGATTCCTGACTTAAGACAGGTGCAAACATTTGCAGCGGGATTAAACGTTTTAATGGTACCAAACCTTCTCCCTTTTCTGAAACAATAGTATAACATCACAACATAGGAGCATATGTGCTTGAGTGGTCCATGTAGTATCTACTGTAATGCTAGCCTGTCAACACTTAGATTGTGGGTTCGACTTCAATCTTGATTGACTAGAATTGTTAGGGTTTCTACCAATGATCGGTGGTTCTGTCGGCACACTGGCTTCCTCCAATAAAAACGTAACTGCCACGATATAGCTAATAGTACTGAAAGTGGGGTTAAACACCAACAATCAATCAATTATTTTTCATTGATGATTAAATATGTTCATTTACTGTTATACCTGCAGTAAGACCTTGATCTAATAATTTAACTCTTTAAGTAGGTAAGCATGTTGTCCACAATAAAATAATTACTTTGCTTTAATCAGGATGTCTTTCTCATAGTTAAGATTTATGAGGTTTAAAAGACAACCACAGGATACTTGGGTATCCATACTCATTACCTTACTGCCTTGTACCGCCAGGTGTTGGTTCACTTGCCTTTTTAGCTCACCTGGCCCAAAGGGCCAAGTGAGCTTTTCTCATCACTTGGCGTCCGTCGTCGTCGTCCGTTAACTTTTACAAAATTCTTCTCCTCTGAAACTACTAGGCCAAATTTAACCAAACTTGGCCACACTCATCATTAGGGTATCTAGTTTAAAAAATGTGTCCGATGACCCCGCCTGCCAACCAACATGGCCGACATGGCTAAAAATAGAACATAGGGGTAAAATGCAGTTTTTGACTTATATCTCTGAAACTAAAGCATTTAGAGCAAATCTGACATGGGAAAAAATGTTCATCAGGTCAAGATCTATCTGCCATGAAATTTTCAGATGAATCGGACAACCCGTTGTTGGGTTGCTCCCCCTGAATTGGTAATTTTAAGGAAATTTTGCCGTTTTTGGTTATTATCTTGAATATTATTATAGATAGAGATAAACTGTAAACAGCAATAATGTTCAGCAAAGTAAGATCTACAAATAAGTCAACTTGACCAAAATGGTCAGTTGACCCCTTAAGGAGTTATTGCCCTTTATAGTCAATTTTTAACCATTTTTTGTAAATTTTTGTAATCTTTTACAAAAATCTTCTCCTCTGAAACTACTAAGACGAATTTAACCAAACTTGTCCACAATCATCATTAGGGTATCTAGTTTAAAAAATGTGTCCGATGACCCCGCCCGCGAACCAAGATGGCCGACATGGCTAAAAAATAGTACATAGGGTAAAATGCAGTTTTTGGCTTATATCTCTGAAACCAAAGCATTTAGAGCAAATCTGATGAGGATAAAATTGTTCATTAGGTCAAGATTTATCTGCCCTGAAATTTTCAGAACAATCAGGCAACACGTTGTATGGTTGCTGCCCCTGAATTGGTAATTTTAAGAAAATTTTGCAGCTTTTGGTTATTATCTTGAATATTATTATAGATAGAGATAAACTGTAAACAGCAATAATGTACAGCAAAGTTAGATCTACAAATAAGTCAACATGACCAAAATTGTCAATTGACCCCTTAAGGAGTTATTGCCCTTTATAGTCAATTTTTACAATTTTCATAAATTTTGTAAATTTTTGTAAATTTTTACAAAATATTTTCCACTGTAACTACCGGGCCAAGTTCATTATAGATAGAGATAATAGTAAGGAGCAAGAATGTTCAGTAAAGTAAGATCTACAAACACATCACCATCACCAAAACACAATTTTGTCATGAATCCATCTGTGTCCTTTGTTTAATATGCACATAGACCAAGGTGAGCGACACAGGCTCTTTAGAGCCTCTAGTTTATTTTAATTTGTTTGTGAACCGCTGCATCCACATACGATCCACCTTTGCCAAACAAGCATGGTATTATACCACACCGTATGGATAACATCACAGACCACTTCTGAAATTGCTCATCCTTTCTAGAAAGAGAAAAAGGTTACTACAAAAAAAAATCAAAGAATGGAACTAGAAACCGAATGGACCACACAACATTCTTGTCAAAATGATCTTGATACATGAATATTGTACCAAAACCAAAAATTTCATAAGATTAATCACAATTTCCAACATGTACAATGACCATACATCTCACGATATTCCCGACACAATTGGAGGTAGAAGTTCCTTCAGATTGAAGCCAGTTAAAATGGTATAGAATGTCCAGTGTCAGAGGTGGTGTCCATTTTGGAAATGATACGGACCATTTTTTATTAACTGTAATTTTCTTTTGAACATCACCATACCATCAATATTTAAAGGTATTTACCAGACAGAACTTTTTACACAATTCTTTTAAAAAAAACTCCATGTGTGCTAGGAAAGCTGATTTATAAGTACACAATTGTGGACCAGATGCAATGTTTCACTAGTGCAATTACAGTAGAAGAATGTTTGAAGTCTATGCCTTCCAGGTCAGACTATCTTTATCAAGATTACAAGAGGGCACAACACTCGGAAAACAAGAGATCACATGCTTAAAATGTCTTTCCTGCTTTACTGATCATGATTGAATTTAGAGATTGAAAGTCTGAAAGATTAATTTTTATACGACCGCAAAAATTAAAAATTTTTTGGTCGTATATTGGTATGACGTTGGCGTCGTCGTCGTCTGGCGTCGTCCGGCGTCGTCCGAAGACACATTGGTTTTCGCACTCTAACTTTAGTTTAAGTGAATGGATCTCCATGAAATTTTACCATAAGGTTCAATACCACGAAAGGAAGGTTGGGATTGATTTTGGGGGTAATGGTACCAACAGTTAAGGAATTAGGGGCCAAAAAGGGGTCAAAAATAAGCATTTTTGTAACTTCCAGACAAAAACTTGTGTGTAAGTGTATGGATCTCTCTGACATTGTACCACAAGGTTCCATATCACAAACAGAAGGCTGTAATTGATTTTGGGGGTAATTGCCTCAAAATTTTAGGAATTAGGGGCCAAAAAAGGGGCAAAAAACAAGCATTTTTCTAGTTTAATGACAATAACTTGTGTGTAAGTGTTTGGATATTTCTGAAATTGTACTACAAGGTTCCATATCACAAAGGGAAAGCTGGAATTGAGTTAGGGGTAATTGCCCGAAACGTTTAGGAATTGGGGGCCAAAAAGGGGCCAAAAATAAGCATTTTTCTAGTTTCCAGACAATAACTTGTGTTCAAGTGTATGGATCTTTCTGAAATTGTACTGCAAGGTACCATACCACAAAGGGAAGGCTGGGATTGAGTTTGGGGGTGATGAATCATAAGGGGGTTCAAAAAATTTGGGGGGGGGGGGGGGGGGGATTTTTTTTTTTTCTTTTTTTCCTTTTTTTTTCTTTTAAAATTTTCCATTTTGAGTTGGTTATTTCTGATTAATATTTAAAAGCAAATAATAATGATATGGTAGGAGATACACACCAAACAGGATGTGTAAATTATTATATAATAAGTATTGTGCAATAGCAAGAAATTTTCAATTGCACAGTATTGCACAATAGGAAGAAATCTTCAATTGCACAGTATTGCGCAATAGCAAGAAATCTTCAATTGCACAGTATTGCGCAAAAGCAAGAAATATCCAATAGCACAATATTGCGCAATAGCAAGAAATTGTCAATTGTACAGCATTGCGCAATAGCAAGAAATATTCAATTGCACAGTATTGTGCAAAAGAAGATACTTCGTATAAATTGCTTATTTCTTGATCAATTTCAATGGGGTTTTATTCTTGAATTCTTGGGGTTCTTTAATATGCTGAATCTAACCGTGTATTAAGTTTTTAGATTTTGGGCCCCGTTTTTAAATTGGTCCACATTGAGGTCCAAAGGGTCCAAAATTTAACTTTGTTTGATTTCATCAAAAATTGAATTATTGGGGTTCTTTGATATGCCGAATCTAACCGTGTATTTAGATTCTTAATTTTTGGTTCCGTTTTCAAATTGGTCTACATTAAGGTCCAAAGGGTCCAAAATTAAACTTAGTTTGATTTTAACAAAAATTGAATTTTTAGGGTTCTTTGATATGCTGAATCTAAACATGTATTTAGATTTTTTATTATGGACCCAGTTTTCAAGTTGGTCCAAATCAGGGTCCAAAATTAAACTTTGTTTGATTTCAACAAAAATTGAATATATGGGGTTCTTTGATATGCCGAATCTAACCATGTATTTAGATTTTTGATTTTTGGGCCCCGTTATCGACTTTGTCCACATTGAGGTCAAAAGGGTCCAAAATTAAACTTAGTTTGATTTTAACAAAAATTGAATTTTTAGGGTTCTTTGATATGCTGAATCTAAACATGTATTTAGATTTTTGAATATTGGCCCAGTTTTCAAGTTGGTCCAAATCGGGGTCCAAAATTAAACTTTTTTTTTGTTTGATTTCAACAAAAATTGAATATATGGGGTTCTTTGATATGCTGAATCTAACCATGTATTTAGATTTTTGATTTTTGGGCCCCGTTATCAACTTTGTCCACATTGAGGTCAAAAGGGTCCAAAATTAAACTTTGTTTGATTTCATCAAAAATTGAATTCTTGGGGTTCTTTGATATGCTGAATCTAACCATGTATTTAGATTTTGGATATTGGACCATAATAGGTGAATGTCCAATTTAAAATTTTTAAGTTCTTAGACCACATTCATTCTGTGTCAGAAACCTATGCTGTGTCAAATATTTAATCACAATCCAAATTCAGAGCTGTATCAAGCTTGAATGTTGTGTCCATACTTGCCCCAACTGTTCAGGGTTCGACCTCTGCGGTCGTATCAAGCTGCGCCCTGCGGAGCATTTTATTTACTACAAGTTTCACAAAAACTTGACATTATCAAACATCCATGTAAACGAGGTCAAGGTCAGATGAACCACATATGCATGTTATCCGTTAATTACTCTTGAACCAACACTAGCTGTAATTAGTAAATAAACTCCATCTCAAACTATCTTGGACAAAGGTTTAAAACTTGCATGACTGAAGGCTTAAGAAAAACTTTAATACTTATAGAATTGTTCATATTTTTATGCACATAAGAATAACAATATGTTTTTTATGTAAAGCATATTAGCAAGAATTTAGATATGACCACAGGCCACAAATTATATTCACACAAATATATCTGATGTTTCTAAATTAAATCTTATTTTTTTTCTCAAGAGAATCCAAAATGAAATTCTCAAAAATTTTAGTTTCTATCCACATTAAGTTGTTAAACTTAAAAATTAACTTCACAATGTTTCAAAATATAAAATTTATTGGTACTCTGCTTGAAACACAATAGAAATTCTTGACAAAGCCTCACATTCTACCCTTTCTCAGCCTTGTACAAATAAATTTATATTTTGAGACAATAGGTATTCTATATGAAGTCAAATTATTTAGTCTTTACATAATCAGAATAGAAAGTCAACAAAACTTTGGTAATTTGTAAATAGTTTCTGAACATTCAGATACTTCACTGGTAAATGTTAAAAATTCAGCTTTAGGCACCAAAAAGGCCTTTTATTGTACCATTTCATTTCCATACTATCATAATCAAATAAACTTACTTGGAGATTTGTCAACATTTATTTTTGATATTTGATATTTTTAGACAGGACCATTTTTTAAATTCCTTTGTTAAAGTACACATATATAGATGATTTTTAATTTCATATTTGGGTTATCTTTTGAAATATCAATAGCTGCCATAGAATATTTTTGCCACTATACATTACATACTGTACATAGGCAGTTAATGCTCCTTACAACATTGTATCGAACCATTTATTTATAACATGTACAATATAGGAAAACAACATCTTAAATAAAGTCTGGTACAAGAAATCACATTGTATTTCTTTGACATGGAATGTTAATTCAATATAAATCACATTGCTGATTAAGCTTTTAATAATAAAATTCAATTATATTTACAGTATTAAGTTTGCTTAAATCTTCTTTCCATTTTAGTCAACCTCTTAAAATGTTTGTTTTATTGTTCTTGATAACACTTTGAAGGTAGTTGAAACCTAAACAGAGGTCCTTATTACAGTCATACTTCCTCTGCCAATGGGATGGTTTTTTGAGAAGTGGACCCTTGTTTGATTTTGATGTACATAAAGTAACAGTATCTTTAAACTTATTAAATCCCTTTAAATATCCTTTATAGATAAAATGGTGAATTTTCTATACTGTTACAAAAAGTAAAAATAAATTTTGTCTTAAAAAGATATGAAGCAGTTGTTTTTCAATTCATATTTATTTTTAAAAATCATATACAGCATGTACAGTATCTATAGAATAAGGAATTCATCTTTTTACTACTGTATCTTTGATATAACATGCATATATGACTATGTACATTGATATTCCCAAAGTAATGTCAGATAAAAAAAAAACTGATGCCAAAAGGGAAATATTTTGCTACATTTTCACTTAATAGGTAGGACCAATTTCCCCTGAATTTATTTCACACCATGGCCATTTTCAAAATGTCTTTCAATCTTTACTTGGATTCCTAGTATTAGAGCTCTATGTGTGTACTTTAGTTTTATAACAATAGTAAGGCTTATTTTTAAACAGATCACCAATTCATAAAAGCTCAAAGATAGCTTAACTCTTTAAAGTGTATAACAAGGATATCCTTAACTAAAATAAAAATTCTGTTGGAAGTTTATAATCATAAGCTATATACTGTAGTGTCTTTCAGATACATTATGTCATTTTGGTTAGCAATGGCCTTTGATGCAAAATTTTCCCAAAGCATGTAAAATTTGCAATTTTTTTTTCTCAAAATATCTTCATTAGCTACATGCAGCATTGAATAACACTCTGTTTTCACTGTTGTTGGGAAATGCTAAAAAATATATGATAAACTCTAATTTTCAATTTCATCTTATTTTTAGATTTTTGTGAAAATATATAGAATTTGGCTGATTTAAAATGGTTTTGGACACGCAAATATAGTGTATGCAAGTAACAATTGGTATTTGTCAATGTACATGTAACCTATACATAGTTATTGCATGCACATGTTTACAACTCGAAAATATTTGTTGAAACAATTTTTGTCATTTTTGAAGAAAATATCAAATTCATTACAGCTTTCAACCTATATATTAAAGTGATTATTACTGAAATATGAAGCATATTTGAAAGACCTTATAATAAGGCTTTGAATGCTTAAATTTTTTTAAAGTAAAATTTTTTTAAGCATTATAGATGAATGACCTATTGGAGATAAAAAAAAAAAACAAAGCAAGAAAACCTCTAATCAAATTATATTATTGACTCCTTTACAAAGCTGTTATGATTCTAATATTTCGAATTATTCTGATAAATTTTATAACATTTCAAGTATACATATACATTTTATCATTTCATGAAGAGGTTGATATAGTCAATTCTGACTGGTTAGCTGTCAGTGATGTTGGTATCTGTAATCCTGATATGAATATCTGGTTATTTGAACCAGTTCCATTTTGTGCAACAGTAAAATCGGTAGAATTCCCAACTTTTTGTTGAGAGGTGACAGGTAATGTTAATCCCAGTGGAAGTACTTGTTGTGCAATAGAGGAGAAATTGTTTGTATTCACACTTGTCTTGTCATTAGTTAGTTTTAATTCCAATGGCATCGCCTGTGAAAAATGAAGAGCTTCTTGAGCTGCAGAAAAGTCAACAGAAGTAACTTGCAAGTCTTTCTTTGATGTATTAATGGATATAGGGTTCTGTATCCCTGCTGAAATTGTCTGTGTATTACTTAACAACTGGTTCCCAACAACACTGTTAACAACTGTTGGTTTGTTTAATGTTGTACCTATTGTCTGAGTCTGGTTCCCTGATAATGAGTGAGCCATTAGATGGTTCAGGGAACCAGAAAGATTCATAGAGGTATTAGTTGGCGAGTTCAGCTGTGCATTAACAGTAACGTTCATAGACATAGATGGAGGGTTAATTCTTTTCTGTTTTTGACGTCTATTACAAAACCACACTCTGACAACCTCTCTTTCTAAATTTAAATCTTCTGCTAAATTTGCGATTTCCTCTGATGAAGGTTTAGGGTGTTGTATGAATGCTTTCTCTAATGCCACCCGAACTGAGGTATCTATACTGGTTCTCTTCTTTCTCCTCCTGGCTATAGCTTCAGGAGAAAGGTTTCCAATAGTACTACCTCCAGACACTGGAGTGGTCGGACTAGCTGACAACATGTCAGCATCCTTCAACCATTTCTGTAATAACGGTTTTAACTTGCACATGTTTTTAAAGCTCAGATTTAATGCCTCAAATCTAGAAATAGTTGTCTGACTAAAATCATTGCCATATAACTTTCCCATAGCAAGACCCACATCACCTTGGGTGAATCCTGAAAAATAAGGAAAAATGTCATGTTATTCTTTGGTTACACCAAGAATTTGTTCTTCAAACTGTAAAATGGTGTGAAATACAGAGGTAAGAAATGTTCAGGAACCTAGGCCAAAAGAAAAATATAATTGTTTTCTGAACATTCCTTATTTTTTGTACCTATCCTTATCTCCTGTTTTTTGTTTTGTACCCGAAAATAATGGTAAAATTCCTACAATTTATGTGTGTAGTGTACAAAATCTTTTTATTACTGTATCCAATGTGATTTATTTTATCTTTTTTGGACGACATATGTGAAATTGGTTTCTACGCAACTTTTGTGTTGATTTAAAAATATAAAACCTGTTTCTGTGTTTCCATTAATATTTTGAATAATGTTTTTCCTGTTGTAAAAGATACACGTTGATGATGATGATGGATGGATGTTAAATGTCCAGTAGCAAATTAAATAAATACTCAGGATAGGTGATATGAATGACTCCTGCTTTGCACTAGACTAATGTAAGCGTACTTTCATTCCGCCGTGTATTTATTCCGGGTAACTGTTTTTCACTAGAGAATATTGGATGTAAATAGTGTGAAACCGTTGATCTAAATATCGTTGTTTTGTTTATATTAGACCGGTTTATTGTTTACAAAACAAATGGGTTAAAATTAGAATGATTTTCAAGGAACCAGTTTAATTAATCTGGGTCAATCCAGTAAATGATATTGATGATGATGAGGAGGATATTTTTATTCTTACATAAAGTTTCAATTATAGAAGCATCCTTTGATATTGATATGGAAGATATGATTTTATATCTACGTCGACCGAAAAGCGAATACACAGAAAAATTTCGGCAATCAAATAAATATAAATATTACAATTAGTGACAATTTAAAAGCATATGATTTTATAGATTTGCATAGAAAAATTATTTAAATCTTATTCGTTAATAAGCGTTATTGTGTTATCGTGTGTCAAAATGAGTATTAATCACTTTATCAATGTATGGATCTAAAGCACTAGTGTAATTAATCCCGGTATAAAATAACTAGTGCAATCATTCCGGTACAAAAACACTAGTGTGAACATTCCTTGTATGAAAACTCTCCACTTTTTACATAAATCAACTATTCAAGTTTCAAATACACTAAAAACTACTGAGCCACATTTTATATATATTTCCCCTTTAAAAAAACTCGTTTTAGAACCTTATAATGACAGGTGGATGTTTTCCACTGGACCCGGATAGAAAAACCTAGTGAATTTTTGTTGGTGGATAAAAATCAATGGGGATTTTCTTCCTCCGGATAAAGTACACTGGCGGAATCAAACCACTGTTTAAACACACATAATCCATCTTTAATGTGTTATTTCACATCGTAACAGTCCACAAAAAGGCATGTCATCCTACAAGACACATTATTTTGACTCAGACCAGTCTTTGCTCTTACTTCTAAATGTCGCATACTTAGTGGAGTAGCAAGCAGTAAATACCAATTTTAAAGTATTTGGTTTGACCAATCCACCCACTTTCTCCTGCATGCAATGCGACCACGCTATCAAAGACTACTGAGGTGATGATACTAAAAGAAATCTGTTGTTGCTGTGTAACTTTGTGTTGTTTTTCCTGCTGTCATAGATATCTGTAAAATCTTTTGTGTTTCTATTTATAAAAGTGTTGTTTTATTTGTTGTTTTGGGAACATAATTGCAAATATACTACTTGTGTTTATATGTGTATATTTCCCCCCAGAATAGCCCTAAAATTTTACAACACTGTTTTCCCTGTTTAATTCCAATATTTCTTTTTAGAAATTTTTCAAATCAAAAAAGTTATATCTTAATAAGGTTTTAAGGCCATTGGCAATGCAAAAAATGCAAACTTTAATGTTAAGTTAAAGTTGTGTTTTTCTTCCCTTTTAGATTTTGAAATTTAACTAGATTTTGGACAAACAATAGTGACCTGTTAGACAAAGTATTCTCTGTAATCAGTATACACACCTAATTCAATTCTTCTTCTTTTAAAAGTTTTAGCAAACTGTTCTAACTCTTCCAAATCAATGTTTTCTTCCTAAAAGATTATGTGCATTAGTTATAGAATAACAGACAAAAAATAGAAAAAATCAAATATTTATAACTGTGGATCCATCATTATAAAGGGAATACCAATTTTCATGTATAGATGTGCAACAAGAATTTAAATGTTCAACGAAGTATAAATTTTCTATATACATGTACTTGCATGCAGACTTTGGCAAACTACAAATTCAAATATTCAAGAAAATACAACTTTCCTCAAACCACGAAAAATAAACTAATCCACAGTACATATGAATTTGTAATTTAGATAAAGAATTGACAGAAAATACTAGTGTTATATTCTAGTCAATTTCTCAAATTTATAAACTTCATGAGTATCAAATTTCAGTATTTTAGGAAAATGACACAGATGAATTAATACGCATATAGAAACAGTACTTATAGTCAATATGAGTAGTATAGTAATGACACCCATTAAAAAGGCTTGAAAAAAATCCAACTTCTAGTCCATTATTTACAATGCTCTTTTTTCATGGAGACTTTATTTTTCCTTGCATTCTTTGATTAAGAAATAATTAATGGAAGCCATAAATTTGTTGGAAATTTACACATGGCCTGGGCCGTAATATTCAAATTTGATTCTGAGCGTTAGTGAGGCATAAAATTAAGGAATAACACGGCCTTATGTGCGAATAATGCAGAATAGAAAATAAAACACCTACCTCAAAACTCCATTTTAATGCAAAATTGGAGGGTTCACGTACTGGGAAAACCTTTAGCTTTAGCGTTTTCATTCATATGACGTCATGTTTCAAAATGACTTTAATGCGCCAAAAGCCTTAATGGAATTTCATGGAATTTAATTTTATTTTGATTTTGTACATCTTTCCAAGCTCTAATGCATTAACTCTTTTTGTTATGCATCAGAATAAGAATAAAGGTTCCGTATTTTTTTTTTCCAATTGAAATTTTTAACATAGCGAAATCGGCATAGCGTTTGCACATAGGTTACAATACATGTGGATTTATGTGGGAGGTATATTGTAACAGCCATTATTATGTACATCTCTGAGTCTGCGCTAAGTGATAAATCTACTAGAAAGAGAGTAAGAATTGAATTAATTATTTAACTGCTAACTGCAAGGTTACATGCTGAGTTATATGAATAATAAACCTACTGGTTGTATGGTAAGATGCATGGACTCCTCTTCAAGTTCTACTGGTTCCTTGATAGATTCTGATGCTTGTTGTTGTTGTTGTTGCTGCTGTTGTTGTAGTTGTTTAAGTTGTTGTGATACATTCTGAGACTGCAGCACTGGAGCGGGTGTTGGTTGGGTTAGGGCAGCAGCCTGTGTTGTTTGTTGTAAAACTGGTTGCTGAATCTGAGAAAGCAAGACTTAAAAGATATATCATTATGTCAATCCAAGTAACTGAAATGTGTTGAAAGGTTATAGTTATGGCTCATATTTTTGGAAGATTTATTCTCAAATCAAGGGTGGTTGTTTCCCAAGGAGTATATGAGGGAAAAGACTGGCCAAGGGTTGACAATTCAATAATCCATGTAATTTTTACTTTTGATTATAGTTGACTAGGTAAAAGTTTTGTTGGCGTGTTCACGTTTCTCCAACATTTGATAATTAGACTAAAATATTATTAAGGATTAGGGGGTCCTCTTAAGGACTGGCATCTTGATATCTAACCTGTAATTCACCTGTTTCAGTTCTTAACTAAAATATTGTTAAAAGGGGTACTTTTTTTTAAAGATTTATTGTAAAATATTAACAAAACATGTCTTTCTTTTTTTTTTACAGTAATTGGTTTTTCATATTTAAAACAAATGTTTCCCAAGATTTTAAAATTTTAATCTAGCACAGTGATGTAAAATTTCATTTTAAAAATGTGCAGATATACAACTGACTCTTCCATCTGTTTAAGACACCATGCCAAGAATATTGACTTCGGCTCTTATAATATACAGACAGGACGACCAGGTAGATGATATATGGTTCTTCGCACAAGAAAACAAAAGCTTTCGATGACTATATATACGTACATAAAACTTTGTTGTTGCACATCGTTTTAGATTTGGATATCTACATGTAACACAAATACAAAAACATATCAAGTAATAGAATAAATTACTAAAATGAGATACAGTTAAAAAAAAAATTTGAGATTATTTCTTGATAAATTTTTATGAAGTTTTCACAGTTGAAGGAGAAATGTTTGAATTTTCCTTGTTTATTTATGGATTTTTTTTGTTGAATAACATTTTAATTTTGTAATTCCAACACGGATACAAATAATTACGTAACATTTTCTGGTTATATTCAACCAAAAATATGTGAAAAAACAATTATTTAAAAAAAAAAAATATGTTTTGTTAATGTTTGAATATATATGTTCTTAAAACAATACCTCTTTTTACAATATTTTAGATAACAACTGATACAGGTGAATTACATGTAAATATCAAGATGCCAGACCTTAAGCTGACCCCCTAATCCTTAATGTTGTTTTAGTCTAATTATCAAATGTTGGAGAAATGTGAATAAACCATTTTATTCTCATACACTTTTCCACATAATACTTTTCTAGGGCACATTCATGTGTAGCAGTGTTTCTCTTGACCTAGTAAATATATAACCATCCTTCTTTAGCTGAAGTAGTGCAGTACACATTAAAATAGACAGTAAAGTGGTGGCTTATTGTGTAAGGGGTTCCAGGTCTGGTCCATTTATGATACATCAGTAATTATGCAAGGAAAATAATGTTCTGCATTTTCATATGTTTGCCTCTTTATAACAAACTTGAGGATATGCCATAAAATCAAAAATTACAGTACTTAATTTTTACCATCTTTCTCTCCCCAACCCCTTAAAAAAATTATAAATTATAAAAATCATGGAATGATGTATGATATGTTTTTTTAAAGCCTGAAATTAAACCTTGTTACAAATTATTAGGGGACATTCTTTACTTTTTTTTTACATTTGTTAACCCTTTGTCTGTATAATAGTGCTGAAACTGTATAAACTGGCTATATACCATTTTATCACTTTAGTGTGAGATGTTACTTAAGCTTGAGTATTTTGACTTTTGTCTCCGTACAATAAAATGTTTTGTCTTGTTGGCTTCCCATGTTTTACTAGTGTGGGCATGTCTGATGAAGGCTATTCTGGAAATGTATTGTATACATTGCTATTAATATGAAATCTTCTGAAGCGTATACCTGTTGTGCCAGTTGTGCATGTTGTCCAAGCGATGCCAATGTCAAATTCTGTAATACTGGAATACCCTGAAATAAATCCATAAAGTCATAAATTTGCTTTTTTACAATATCGATCATGTTGCATACTGATCAATTTTATGGAAATAACAAGAATGCATGAGTTGTGCTAAGCATACCGGTGCCCCCACTTGTAAATGAAAGTATCAGAAAACAGGACACAAGTGGTAAAAGATCCAAAAGGTGCACACATGTTACAACAAATTACTGTTAGGCTGCTGAACAAATTTAAAATCATTCTATTCAGCTAAACTTAAGAAAAGAGTGACAAAAATTGATGTGCAGTATATAATTTTACTCAAATTTTCAATTTAGCGACTTTTGTAAAAACTGATATGGGTCTTTCTTTCATGTACATTTTTCATGATAATTATAGATTTAATTTCAATCTAATCCAAAAAAAAATAGGTTTTTTTCTGACTGTTTCCTTTGTTTTTATTGTTTTTGTTGCAGGAACGTTAACTGCACAAGTAAATTATTTATGTAAATAAAAGCTGATATTGAAACCAGAGGCTCCTAATATTGACAATTAATAATCTTACCAAAATATGCCATTTTGAAAATTGTTTTCACCTTCCAGAAAAAATATTCATTTTAAAAAATAGAGCTTTTTGAGTGTCTTCAAAGTGAAATCATGTATACTTTTTCATTCAGAGCCCAGATCTTATTTATTTAAATAAAAAAATAATAGCTTACAAAAAAAGAACCCAGCCTCTTGTATTTATCTTAATGTTTAAAGTATTAACCTTGACCTAATTACAAAAAGACTAGACATTTAAAACTTACTTGCAACACACCCTCTGTTTGTGGGCATCTTTAATATGAAGTATCATAAATATCCTTCACAGTGTCCAAAAGTTCTGAGTCAGACATGACTTTATATAGTTTAAAAATGGGTAATTATAGTTGAACTATGTTTGTGACCTTGACCATGTAGACATACATTCCAATCCAATCATTTTCACAACACACCCCCTGTTGGTGGGCAACAATAATACCAAGTACTTATCATAATATTAATATCCTTCAAGGCATTCAAAAATTTAGAAATAGGACACAACTTGCACAGACAGATTTTTTCCTGAAATGTCCCAGCTTGGCCAGTATAGTTGTTTTCAGTCTTCCATGCTCCTTGTACCATTTAGGATTGCTTTTATGATCTAGTATTATAGTTTTCTAGATAATAGTCAAAAATGCTAAAATTAGTCAAAAAATCATCCTCTTAAAGCAATAACTTCTATTAGGGTTTCCTGATACATGCATATATCAATTACTTGCTTTTCATCTTAATGTTCAATCTTTAGCCATGAGGGCTGGTTTGGTTTGTTTTCAAGAACAACAAACACAAAATTATATACAAAGTACCCATTGGATCAGGTATGTTAAAAAATGAATTTTGAAGACAATTTCTTGAAATAATCTCATTGCTGTTGAATACAACTCAAATTAAATAAACTGTTGACACAAAGATATGTCTCCCCTGTCTGCAAGACAATCTGATGGACAACAACATGCAAGACAAAAAACCAAAACAAAGCAAAGAAGATATTTTACAAACCTGGTTCTGAATAATAAATGGTTGTAATGAAGCTCCACCTAGCTGTGATGTATTAATCAGAACAATCTGTGGCGAATTGGCTGCTGTCAGACCCTGTAGAGTGGCTAAAGTAGGTGGGGCATTGAACTGTTGAGTGGCTTGTGTCGTCTGTGCAGTCTGTAACGCCTGGTTCTGACTGGTTTGAACCTGTTGTAACTGCAACTGCTGATGTTGTTGAATTGTCTGTTGAAGTTGTTGTAACTGTTGGAGATCTGCTGCTGACAACTGTATCCCTGCTAGTCCAGTAGAAACTGGTACCTAATTTGAGATAAAAAAAAAAAAAAATAGAGCAAAAATGCTCCTGAAATATGCTTATTTTTGCTTAAGGTGGTACATAACACTACAGGGAGATAACTCTTTGAAAATAAGCTGAACATTTTAATCACATTCTATTGTTAAGGAAATATTAAGCTTCTCAATGATCAAAATTAGTGTTTGTCAAACTGCTATATATCCAATCAAATTTTTCTGATAAATTGTATGGTTCAAATTTTTTGAAATTTTTATATTTTTGTCAAAGGGTCAAAGTAAATATTTTGACAAAATTTTATGAAAATTAAACCAGCCAAATTGATTTTAGTCAAGGTGTTTGGTTACAATGGTACCACCTTAAGATCTGACAAGTCTTTATTGTTATAATGATGTCAGAGTCATTTTTTTCTATTATACCCAAGCTAATACTTATATCTAATGAAACATGTGAAAGCATTTATTCTCAAGTTAATAAAAAGCTATTTATAACCGTATGAAACATGTACATTTTCTTATTTTCAGTGAGTTAACAGAACCAAACAAGCTCCAAAATGAACCTTATCTTTTGGGTATTTCAGTGATTTTCCCTCATTCACACCTATTTTTTTTTTTTGTAGTTTTGTTAATTTTCAAAGATAGCTAGAAAGTATATACATTTCACTTGTTCTTACTTTTTATGGCTTATTGTCATATTTCATTAATTTCATCAATCACTATCATGATTGATATAATCAAAGTGCTTGTAAGCACTGAAGGGTAAAGATTGGTTTAATTTATCAGTGGGAAGTAAAATTAAACATTGCATTGCATGGTTAAAGAAAGATAACTCCAATTTTAAAGATTACTTTAACAATGACAGCATTGATATTTTTAGAACAGATATTTAGATTCCTGCACCTCCCACAAGTTATCTAATTTTTTTGACCAGTATAACATCATTTTGTAACTTGAATATCCCAGCATATATTTTATTGATAAATTTCTATAATGCTCACAGATCGGATGTTAGAATGTTATGATCAATGCACTATATTTTGTGTATCTCAAAAGTTTTGATAAACCTTGGAAGATTTAGATATTAAGTCAGTACCATAGGGTTTTGATGCAATCTTTACCCAAAAATAAGAAGATGTGGTATAATTGCCAATGAGACAACTCTCCAGCAGAGTCTTTTTTAATTTTTTTCATTTAAAAATCTAGGGTATCAAATTAAACATTTTTTGCCTGAGCAAAACAAATAAGTAATCTTTGAAAAGTTGTTATGAATATTGGTAAATTCTTCATCAAAATCTCTGTCCTGCATATTACATATAGAATTTTTATAGATAGATTGTTGAATAAACTGATATCACAGAGATATGTCTCACCTTTTTGTAATTTGATAATGCAAATGTTGAAATTAAAATAGTAAACTTTAACATGTAAGTTATGGAAATATTCAAAGTCGATGAACCATGACTGAAGGTAGATGCCTAAACAATCTCCATGATGTGCCAATGCTAATACAACTGCATACCAAATACCATTGACTTATTACAAGTCTTTCCCTTTAGACAAACCTAAACACAAACATTAACTTGTAAACTATGTATAAGTTTCAAAGTCAATTAACCATGATGAGGGGGCAGGGCTATATAATCTCCATGGAAACAATACTTGCAAATGCCAATAAATTTGCATACCAAATATCCTTGACTTAACATTAGCAGTTCACCTTAAACTGATCTAATCACAAACTAATACATGTAAACTAAGCAAAATTTTCAAAGTCAAAAGACCATGACTAAGGGATCCAAATAATCTCCATGGAAATGAGATATGCCAATGCTTATACAATTGCATACCAAATATCATTGACCTATCACTAGTGGTTCCCCATAAATTGACCTAATCACAAACTAATACATGTAAACTAAGTAAAAGTTTCAAAGTCAATAGACCATGACTGAGGGGGCAGGGCCAAATAATCTCTATGGAAATGAGATGTGCCAATGCTAATACAACTGCATACCAAATATCATTGACCTACCACTTGTGGTACACCATAAACTAGACCTAATCACAAACTAATACATTGTTGCCGCCGCTGGAAACAGCATACCTATTTCTCGCTTTTTGACTCCGTCAAGGAGAGACAAAAATATTCCCAATGACAACAATCATGACAATCCCTGTGCTGCTACTCCAATCATTTAAGAAAATTGCCCCTCCCCACTTTCTGACAGGAGTTCCATACCACAGCTGGTTGAGCAAATCCTCCCTGTAACAACAATCCACCTTGTGCTGCTGCGCCTGTGGCAAGAGGGAACTGTCCAGCTAACAAGGCATTCTGAAGCTGTTGTATTGCTGCAGAAGCACTAGTGGCCTGTTTTAAATAAATAAAAATATAAATTGAGAGATTGATCCATACAACTTTTTATGTTAATGTAATTTCCTACACTTAAAAGGAGTATGAAAAAAAAGAGAATTGTTGAATTTTCACTTCACGAAATAAATAAATGGGGAATGTGTCCATGGGACACAGATTATGCCCCCGCTTGCGTATAACATTATAATTTTCATGAAAATAAAATCAGCCTGGTATTCACTATGGAGTTTCCCCATACAGATCCCCAATTTCCTACAAGCAGCAAATCCCTACCAATTCCTGTTTTTACATGCAATTCCAAATTGTGCAAGAGACATGTGCATCTCACCTCAAGTTGACCCCACCTTCATGGTTAATGAAGTACATACCAGATTTAGTGGTTTAGAGGCATCTCCCCCTCCTGTTGACCCTTCTCCTTGAGACACATCTCCATTCATCTTGTAACCTACAATCAATAATATTTTATATCAGATCATGATGATTATCTTGTAGTCAATATCATAACAGTGATGTGTTGACCAAATACATTATATACCAAATGCAGAGCATTGTTTAACATTTATTTGTACCTCCTTAATTTTTTATGAATTTCTTATTTTTCTTCTTTTATTACATGCACTTTGCCTTTTTCATATTTTTTTGCAACTTTTACAGTGGTTTGTCTATGGAGTCTACCAAACAACCATGACAAAAGAAAAATAATGCATTAGTTTAATTTTTATCTTAGGATTGACAAATTTTCCAAATGTTTTTGTATTATGCATAATTTTTTTTTAATTAGTACAAAAACTGAAACGACAAAATTATAAACATTGTCAGTTTCCTCATGCGCAATTACAGTAATTTTTAGGAAAGCCTTAAGTCTGAGTGTTGTTTTCTCTTTGAAATTCTAATTGACACATTGACACTTATGCAAATACAGATGAATCTACAGCTTCTAGTTAATGATATTATATGATTATGGAATTAACTGGATCAACACAATGACTGATGATAATGAAAAGCTAATAACACATTTACTTTGGCCTTAATGAAGGGGGAATGGAAAAGTACTATTAAGTAAACATAAAGCAGCAAAACAGACAAATTATAAGACTATGTACTCACTGAGGTAAAATGTGAGGACTGAGTACTTAAATAAAAGAACTGAGGTAAAATGTGAGGACTGAGTACTTAAATAAAAGAACTGAGGTAAAACGTGAGGACTGAGTACTTAAATAAAAGAACTGAGGTAAAACGTGAGGACTGAGTACTTAAATAAAAGAACTGAGGTAAAACGTGAGGACTGAGTACTTAAACAAAAGTACTGAGGTAAAACGTGAGGACTGAGTACTTAAATAAAAGAACAAAGTTCTGATGTCCCCCGCATTGCACATATTTTATCTATCCAAGGTACTTTTTTTCATTCTTTAAACTTTTTATTAATATCTTAGAGAAATGAAGGCTTCAGAGCCTGACCTGGGGGCCTGTGGTTTAGCGCGAAGACTGCATAACTCTTTTAAAAATAATGGATTGGCACTGATTTTTGAACTCTTGAAAGACATTGATGATATAAACCTTTAATATAAATTTCAGAAAAATCTAGCAAGAATTGTACACATAAGAGCGCTCATAAGGCAATTTTCCATCTAATTAATAATTCCAAGGGCATAACTCTTTTAAAAATAGTTGATCGGCACTGATTTTCAAACTCATCAAAGACATTGATGATATAAACCTTTAATATAAATTTCATAAAAATCTGGCAAGAATTGTACACATAAGAGCGCTCCTAAGGCAATTTTCCACATAATTAATAATTCCAAGGTGCATAACTCTTTTAAAAATAATTGATCGGCACTGATTTTCAAACTCATCAAAGACATTGCTAATATAAACCTATGATTTTAGTTTCATAAAATTCAGGCAAGAATTGTACACATGAGAGCGCTGTCATTATGCAGTTTTCCATATATAATTAAATGTCCAAGGGACATAACTCTTTTAAAAATAATTGATTGGCACTGATTTTCGAACTTGTCAAAGACATTCTTAATATAAACCTATGATTTAAGTTTCATAAAATTCTGGTAAGAATTGTACACATGAGAGCGATAACAATGCAATTTTCCATATAATTAATGTTTCCAAGAGACATAACTCTTTTAAAAATAATTGATTGGCACTGATTTTCGAACTTGTCAAAGACATTGCTAAATAAATTGCTTCACTGAGCGCAGCTGGATACGACCGCAGATGTCCAACCCTGAAAAGTTGGGCCAAAATGGACACAATATTCACGCTTGATACAGGTCTGAATTTGGATTGTAACTAAATTTTTGTCACATAATAGGTTTCTGACACAGAATAACTGTAGTCAAAGAACTTCAAATTGGTTATATGATTTGAATTTATATTCAATTTATTGCTTTTGTGCAATACACTATGCTGTTGCGAATTGACCCCCCCCACTACACAAATTTTTTTATTTTACCCCGGTTTTTTGCTTTTGTGCAATACACTATGCTGTTGAATATTAACCCCCAAAAAAAAATATTTGAAGAAATTTTCTTTTAATTTCTGAAATCTGAAATGAGAAAAATTGTCCCCCTCCAATTTTTTTCACCTCCCCCCTTTCCCTTATTCCCCAAAAAAATTCTTTCCCTCAAGATATGGTCAGTATCTCAATTCAAATTTCTAATGCAGTTTGCAACCAAAATTACCCATTTAAATACATCATAAAAGTTTTAAAATATAAAATGACATACATAGTCATGGCTAAAATTAATATTAGTTAATAGTAACTACGAAAAATAAATTGACAGCTAATCACCTCAAGACAATCATCATTTCTAAATACATAATTTACAAGCAGTGTAAGGGAGGTAATCAAACAGTGTTCTTTAATTCGAATTGGATTACCTCCCTTACACTGATTTAAATTGTCCTTTAACCAGAAAAACCCTTGTTTTTCACCTATTTTTGCCCCTAATTACTAAATGGTTTGAGCCATAACCACCAAAAGTCAATCCTAACCATCCCTTTGTTGTATGGAAGTTTGTGGTATAATTTCAGAGAGATTCATACACTTTAACACAAGTTATTGTCTGGAAACTACAAAAAAGCTTATTTGGGCCCTTTTTTTGGCCCCTAATTCCTAAACAGTTGGGACCATAACCCCCAAAATCAATCCCAATCTTCCTTTAGTGGTTATAAACCTTGTGTTAAAATTTTATTGATTTCTATTTACTTATACTTATACTTAAGTTATTATCCGGAAACCATCTGTCTTCGGACAACGCTGACAACGCCGGACTACGACAACGTGATTCCAATATACGACCAAAATTTTTTTAATTTTTGCGGTCGTATAAAAACCTATGATTTAAGTTTCATAAAATTCTGGTAAGAATTGTACACGTGAGAGCGCTAACAAGACCGGACAGACGGATGGACAGACAGATGCCCGGTATTTCTATGCCCCCCCCCCCCCCACAACGCGTGGGGGACAAAAATGATTGAAACCTGCCATAAGTCAGGGTCTCTTTTCACAAAATAAATTTATTCCAAATATTGATCAAGTTATACTAAAATGTTCATGAAACACAACAATTTTTTTTTCTCGTAAAATTTTTTGTGAAATGAGTCGCAGGAGAACTTTGACTACTCAAAATATTTAATGTAAATTTTGACTATCCAAAGTCAAGAACCAAGAAAAAGATTGAATTTTCTCAAAACTGCACTGTGACAAATGTACTGGCACTGTGCCTTACTCAAATCAGGAACCAAGGAGATTGCAATGTGTTCTAAAAAATGCTGGTTCAAACATGTTACATGAACTGTAAATGTGCCTGTCCAAGGTCCAGAATCAAGAAAAGGATTGAATATTCATGTCTGGTTATTGACCCTGTCAAATATTGCAGTAATTGTGTCTGTCCTACATGTAAGTCAGGAACCAAAGAGAGGTTTGGGTTCCCACAAACCTGGTTTAATACTTTAACAACATGTGCTGGAATATTTTATGTCTTCAGTCAGAAACAAAGGAGAGGATGGAGCTATCACATAACTGGTCATTTTGTCTGTCAAAAGCCAAGAATCTATTTATGGTTGCTTTTGTCTCTTAGTTTTTTGTCCATTTGAGAATTTGGTGCTGATGTTAAATCTTTGGTTGTCATCATTGAATTGATCTAATGACCTGGACTTAAGATGATATTAATGAGATCCTAATTAGTGTTGAAGACCAAACATGAATGAATACCTCTTGAATTTACTTTTACTGTTAGTATTGGACAGCTGTCTCGATGTCTGTATTGCCACATATTTGTTTGTTAATGTTTCCTGTCATTCTACATTTATAAAGAAAGAGAAAACAATTTCAAGAAATTTTAGAAAAAAGCCAACATATCAATGGAACAGTACTTTATTTATTCTCCATGTCCGGTTTCTATGATGAAATTGGTATATGAAAAGTTATACTTGAACACATAAATTTTGTACTCATTAAATTTATGGCAGAATAAAGGAGTTTTACATACATTTGTTCATTTTTTTTGTAGTGGTCATTTTGAGGCATGTTACACATGTAACAAGCAAGTACATTTTATACATATAAAGGGTATATATACATTGCAAATTATTTCTGTGCCAAATTTTAGCATTTTCTCAAAACTTGCTTACCAAATCTTTCTGTTACTCCAATAAAATACTAACCAGATACATAATTAAAAAATAACCATTATCATAACATTTAAAAACAAACTGCATCAAAACATTTTCTTCTAAATAATCAGAGACAGGAACTAAGTACATGTATATGTACCTGTACCTTAAAATGTTTTAAAGTACATATGAACTAGAGCTGGCTTTTACATTTAATAATTCTTTAACAGAAAAAAAACCTTTTAGATAAAACATCTGCAGATAGAAACTGCACATTGCAGTCTCTTCCATCAATTTTAATAGTTGCCATTTGAGATTTATCAATACACATCAATACAAAAATAATCAATTAATTGTCAATTTGTAACAAATCTAATATTCCTACAAAGAGTAAATATGATTTTACATTACCGTATAGTTTTTTTCTCATCCTCCTTTCCCTTACAAAGCCTTACACAGAAATGATTAACATTTCCAATATAGAGATGTAAATTAACTAGAGAATTTGCATTCATATCACACCCCAATACACAATTATGTTGTTTTGTATTAAAATGAGCATTTTCATTCTAAGCTGGTGGGTTTAATCTTTAGAAACGTCACATACACAATACCAGGATAATTTAAACGGCACATTTTGTATCTGAATATGTAAATTTTGTGAATAATATTAGTGATTTGGTCGCTATTTTATTCAGTAAAGAAATAAATAATTAACAATCTTAAGGCTTTAAAGGAAACTGTTACGCCATCAATCGGTAAAGCAAAAGTATATTATAAAGATGATGCATAAACAACTGTCATCAAGATTGCATGTTAGCACAATCAAGGACGGTGAAAATCTAATTGGGGTGATTAATTTTTAAAATACTCTTTGAAACTACAGTTACCGGTATATAAAAACAATTCTATCTTGATGATAATAAATACATAAAAGCCTAATTGACTAAATTATGCATTGCATAAAATGCTTTAAACAGAAATTGAGACTACCTAAGGATTTCCTATACTAATATATAAAACAGTCACCATCTTGGTATGTTGTCAAGACTGGACTCTAAGTTAACATTCGGCTAAGGGACTGACTCAGTAAATGTTAGTAATTATCACTTCATTGTAACCATAACACATTCACAAGCATGTAATTAAAATGTTATACTATGTTAAATGAACCTTTTTGGAACAAATAAACTGCAATGGATTGCTAAACAAGACTGCATCTTAAAGGCAAGGGAAGAGTACATATTCAGACTCAAATTATCTTAGCAAAGTAAATAAAATGCTCCGCAGGGCGCAGCTTGATACGACCGCAGAGGTCGAACCCTGAACAGTTGGGGGAAGTATGGACACAACATTCAAGCTTGATACAGCTTTGGATTTGGATTGTGATTAAATATTTGACACAGCATAGGTTTCTAACACAGATTGAATGTGGTCTAAGAACTTAAAAATTTTAAATTGGACATTCACCTATTATGGTCCAATATCCAAAATCTAAATACATGGTTAGATTCAGCATATCAAAGAACCCCAAGAATTCAATTTTTGATGAAATCAAACAAAGTTTAATTTCGGACCCTTTTGACCTCAATGTGGACAAAGTTGATAACGGGGCCCAAAAATCAAAAATCTAAATACATGGTTAGATTCAGCATATCAAAGAACCCCATATATTCAATTTTTGTTGAAATCAAACAAAGTTTAATTTTGGACCCCGATTTGGACCAACTTGAAAACTGGGCCCATAATCAAAAATCTAAATACATGTTTAGATTCAGCATATCAAAGAACCCTAAGAATTCAATTTTTGTTAAAATCAAACTAAGTTTAATTTTGGACCCTTTGGACCTTAATGTAGACCAATTTGAAAACGGAACCAAAATTTAAGAATCTAAATACACAGTTAGATTCAGCATATCAAAGAACCCCAATAATTCAATTTTTGATGAAATCAAACAAAGTTTAATTTTGGACCCTTTTGACCTCAATGTGGACAAAGTTGATAACGGGGCCCAAAAATCAAAAATCTAAATACATGGTTAGATTCAGCATATCAAAGAACCCCATATATTCAATTTTTGTTGAAATCAAACAAAGTTTAATTTTGGACCCCGATTTGGACCAACTTGAAAACTGGGCCCATAATCAAAAATCTAAATACAAGTTTAGATTCAGCATATCAAAGAACCCTAAGAATTCAATTTTTGTTAAAATCAAACTAAGTTTAATTTTGGACCCTTTGGACCTTAATGTAGACCAATTTGAAAACGGAACCAAAATTTAAGAATCTAAATACACAGTTAGATTCGGCATATCAAAGAACCCCAATAATTCAATTTTTGATGAAATCAAACAAAGTTTAATTTTGGACCCTTTGGACCTCAATGTGGACCAATTTAAAAACGGGGCCCAAAATCCAAAAACCAAATACACGGTTATATTCAGCATATTAAAGAACCCCATGAAATCAAGAATAAAACCCCATTGAAATTGGTCAAGAAATAAGCAATTTATAGGAAGTATCTTCTTTTGCACAATCCTGTGCTATTAAATATTTCTTGCTATTGCGCAATACTGTACAATTGACAATTTCTTGCTATTGCGCAATATTGTGCTATTGGATATTTCTTGCTATTGCGCAATACTGTGCAATTGAAGATTTCTTGCTATTGCGCAATACTGTGCAATTGAAGATTTCTTGCTATTGTGCAATACTGTGCAATTGAAAATTTCTTGCTATTGCACAATACTTATTATATAATAATTTACACATCCTGTTTGGTGTGTATCTCCTACCATATCATTATTATTTGATTTTAAATATAAATCAGAAATAACCAACTTAAAATGGAAAATTTTAAAAGAAACAAAAAAGGAAAAAAAGAAAAAAAAGGAAAAAAAAATAAATCCCCCCAAAAAATTTTTTGAACCCCCATTATGATTCATCACCCCCAAACTCAATCCCAGCCTTCCCTTTGTGGTATGGTACCTTGCAGTACAATTTCAGAGAGATCCATACACTTGAACACAAGCTATTGTCTGGAAACTAGAAAAAAATGTGTTTTTTGGCCCCTTTTTGGCCCCAAATTCCTAAACGTTTAGGGCAATTACCCCCAAACTCAAACCCAGCTTTCCCTTTGTGATATGGAACCTTGTAGTACAATTTCAGAAAGTTCCATACACTTACACACAAGTTATTGTCATGAAACTAGAAAAATGCTTGTTTTTTGCCCCTTTTTTGGCCCCTAATTCCTAAAATTTGGAGGCAATTACCCCCAAAATCAATCCCAGCATTCCTTTAGTGATATGGAACCTTGTGGTACAATGTCAGAGAGATCCATACACTAACACACAAGTTATGTCTGGAAGTTACAAAAATGCTTATTTTTGGCCCCTTTTTGGCCCCTAATTCCTTAACTGTTATTACCATAACCCCCAAAATCAATCCCAACCTTCCTTTTGTGGTATTGAACCTTGTGGTAAAATTTCATAAAGATCCATTCACTTAAACTAAAGTTAGAGTGCGAAAACCAATGTGTCTTCGGACGACGCCGGACGACGCCGACGGACGACGACGACGACGCCAACGTCATACCAATATACGACCACAAAATTTTTTTTGCGGTCGTATAAAAATTGCACAGCCAATAGATGTCCAATTAATGGTACACAGAGTCACAGACAGAAAAATAAAATCAGTTAAAGCCAGGGTATCAGACCATAGCTTTGACATGGCACATCAGTTTATTCTTTGGAAACCAACAAATTTAAAATTTTGAAACAATTCAAGGGACATAATACTCTAAAACTGAAAAAAAGCTTCAAATCTGCATTTCATATGCATGTAGATAGGATCTCATAACTGTCATGTGACTTTGCAACATTACTATCTGTTATGAAATGCAGGTTCAATTCATTTGTACTGTTGCCAAATTCCAGCAAAATATCACCCATCCGTATCACGTAAATCTGGAAACCTTTTCCACAATATATTTTAAGACAGTTCATTGCGCATAACACATTTAAACAGTAAATGTTGCAATGCAACAGTGCAAAGCAAACTGAACCTGCATTTCATAATATACATTGTAGTAACAGGGTTTGAAATTAGCAGAAACTCACCAATGGCCACTAAAATTTAGTGTGGGCTACTAAAATTTCTGCTTTTCTTGTATATAACTATATATATATTGGCTACAAAATTTAAGCTGTGGGCTACCATGCCAAACTTCAATCCCTGAGTAATATTGCAAAGTTTGGACATTTTTATGGAACTTAAAAAATTAACCACCTCTCACGTTTCAAATGACTCATAACATTAACAATAAGAATAGAAATTGAAAGCAACACTTTTGTAATAGTCATATGAAATGGAATTCAAATCATCATAATTATAATGGATGGTAAGTATGCTTTATCTTATCACTTTGCACTTTCATGACTTCACTGCGGTTTTACTACAGTTGGTTAAAACGTCTGATCAGTTTAAGTTTGATTTGATGAAACAAATAGCAATTTGGTCAATATTGAAATTTTGAAAATGAACTGCAAGAGGTGGAGAGCAATAGTTACAATCAAGTCACAGTAACTGAAATATTTGTTTGAACATTCGAAAATGCAGTGTCCCCTTATTTTTTTTATCAGGAAGCAAAACTGGTATAAGAACAAACAAAACATTCAATATGTCGCTTAAACAAAACCAGTGAAGGAAATATAAATTGTGCATGCCAACCCCATTGATTTCTAAAGTAAAACATACATGTACATGTATGTACATGTAAAGTAATGTCAACTTTTTCATAAACATAAAAAAAAAAATGTAAGGAGAAACTCTCTGCAAATGATAAAACGGCTTCTAACAGGTAACTTCATCTCCATAGGTTAATATATAATCATATTTGTAGGTATTGCCCAATGCTGTGAATATCAAAATAAAAATGTTTATACAGATTTTTCCCACAAATCACCTCTTACTATCTATCACCAAAAATATGTAAATAGAGTTAATTTGCATTGTATATTCAAATCTAATGGCCTGATCAATGTTTGTACCCTGCTGTCTTTATTCATGAATAAATACACTTTATAAATATTGATGACATTCGCTTGGAATATATTAGATGTAAATTGGATAACAGGAAAACTGAGGCTCTCCACCTGTACAACCACTATATAACATCAATAGATTTTGAGTAAACATTAACTGCTACTTGTTGACCCAAGACCATAATTTATATTTCTCTTTCTTTGTAATATATTAGTCTGTCTTATATATAGAATATTGACTGTCTTTACTAGAATAGAATTTCTAGCTAAAGAATTTAGCTAGAAATTCTATTCTATGCAGTACTGCAAGCAGCCTTAGTAAACTAAAAAAAAAGAAGATAAATTTCATTTAATACAACTCAACTCTTTCTGCCAAACACTATGGCTATAGATGAATCTACTTTTGTTGTAGAAGGATTCAGAAATAAAAAATTCTTATTGTTTAGCACATAGGCCTAATTATCACTCCATCTACCTATTCAAACAATCTACCATTATTTACATGCCA